AAAAACAAATGTTCTACAAAAAAAACATTTAGAAAGGAAAAGATGACCTCTCTCCAGTAATTTCTTACGGGGGTGAGGGATGGGAAATAAGCTTGAAGGTGAATATTAGAAAGAAATCTATAAGTAAACAGAACAAAAGAGGGGCCCTGGGGAACATCAGTGTTTGTGATTTAGGAGTTGACATGCCTTTCATTCCTTGAATGTGAGAAAGATAGGAGATGAAGGTAAAACTACTAGATCTTATGTCTTCTAGATAGAGTGCTTAATTTTAGAGCGTTGATAAGAAATTTTAAAATATTGATCATTCCACACGAAGGAGAATATAGGAAAAGGAGGCAGGATACATCCAATTGCTAAAAACGACTTGTCAGGAGTGGGATTCGAACCCACGCCTCCAGGGGAGACTGCGACCTGAACGCAGCGCCTTAGACCGCTCGGCCATCCTGACTCGCTGAAGGTTTGGCTTGCTCTGAATATATTTCTGGGTCTCCGGAAACACTATTAATTTATTCAAGATAAGGGACTTCTCCGGAGAAAGAGTTAAAGTGCGCCGGAGTAATCCGCCGGCATGCCCGCCTGGGAAGCGCCGCACGCGGCCGGGTTCCCGGGGCGGCCAAGGAGCACCTGCTCTGCGACCTAGATTCCAGGTCCCGCGGAGGGCGGGGCGGGATGCGGGAGAAGAAGGGCACCCTCCCTCCACTCTCGGGGAGTCCTGCAGAAAGCCACCGCGTTCTCCCAGGTCTTAGGCCGCGGCAGGTGAGTGCGGGCTGAAGCCCAGCCCGCAGTTGCTCACTCTGGGAGCCAGGTTAGGAGGCCGGCTGGTCTGGCTCCGGGTTCTGAGTTCATTTTGCTCTATGCACTGAGGACTTACGGTGTTACTCTAAGGATATTTTACTGCAAGAGGTAGTTTGAAAAAGGGGGGGGGGCAGTGGGGGGAGTAGTTTCTGTATCTAGTAAACCTGGCACAGGGGGCCCTTGATACCATGCAGCCACCTTTCTAAACATACCTAACATCATATATGACCTTTTCTCGCCAAGTGTTACAATCAGGATCCTGTGGTCAGAAAAGCATTCACTGCAAGTCCGGGAACCTGACTGCGACTTTCAAACAAAGCTAGGACTAGTGTATTAACTGCCCGCAGTATTTCAGACAAGACATTTTGTCTCTGTCCATCTGAGAAACTGCTTTCCTAGGTGCTTTACAGTTTCATCTAAATTCAGTTAAGGAAATACAGTGCTTCATCTCATAAATGATGCATCAAATCCTCCTCTCTGGGGAACCAGTTAGAGGCAAATTCTTAGTCTCAGCCAGACCTACTGAATCAGACATTGTGGGGACAAAGTCCAGTAATCTGTGTCTAATAACTGCTCCATGCAATTCCAAGGCAGGCCCAAGTGTGAGAGTCACCCGCTTAAAGCCTAGCAACCTGTAATTCTTTTTTTTTTTTAACTTTTACACTTAAGTATTTTATTATATGCTGCTGCCAGTGTATATAAAATAATTGCCCTTGTGAAATAGAAATTTATGAAAATTCAGAGAGGTAGATGTTAAGGACTGACAAAGATAGAAGTTTATATAGTATGGCACGTGTTATAGGGATAAGCTTTTGTACAGGCTTCAAATTTAGTTCTCCTTTGAATATTCCCTGGTTCGTGTAAAGTGGTTTAGAAAACCATCAAAAGATTCGTTTTACTACAAAAAGGAACAGACTTTCTGGGGTCTGAAGGGATTCGTACTTGAAGATACACCAGTTTGCAGGGGGTCGTGTTGGGCATTCTGCACAGAAATGTTTCAAATCTGCAGCTGCCTGGGAGACTTTCACGCGGTTGAGCCCCGCTTCCAGCCGGAGCTGCTGAACCACTTTCTTCATGGCAGCGACGCTGGAGGAACCAGACATGGCGCTCGCAGGTGCTGGGCCGGCTCGTCCGCGGGTGGATCCGTCGCGCAGTGGGTCCGAGGGGCGCAACCTGTAATTCTTAACAGATCCACTGCTCCGCCGGTAGCAGGAGGTGACATGTGAAAGCATGTAGCTATTGCCAACATCCTCCCCACCTCAGACCTGAGAGTTCCACCTGGGAATTGTATTTGTTAAGAATTCCCCTCCACCCCTGGGTGATTCTCCTGTGAACCCATGTTTGAGTCATTATTTTAGAAGCTTTAGAAAAAGGCTGAATCTTTCTTTTAAGGGTAAAGTGGAGGAGCCACATTCAAAAGAATGTTCAGACCTCTGTGGTACAGGCCTCTGGCCCAAAATATTTGTGAATCCTAGAGTGCCAGAGTCCAAAGCACAATTTACGATGGATGTTCATAGGCTCCGTATATGTGTACCCACGTGCACTGGGATGTCTGGATATGAATCATTGGAGATAGCCAGGGATGACTATGACCAAAGGAAGGTGTCCCCTGGTACCTGAAATGCCAGAGCCCACCTGTCCAGGAGAAAAGACGGAAATAATCTGTACAGAATATTAAAATTCGATTATTGGAGTGGTTGTGCAGGAGGAGGTTGTATGTAAGCGTTTTGTGAAGACAAATATAATCTCTCAAGGATACAGATAAACTTTTTGGGTTTTAGAGGTCTAGCAATACCCGATGTCATCTCTTTTAGAAAATTCAGAAATAAAGCCAGGACTACCAAGATTGATTGTTTCCTCTAGGCACTTGGTAGCTGGTGCCAGTTGGAGAGAGCCTGGAGGTTCATCAGATAAGTTCTTCCTTAGAGGTGTCTCATGCAAAGAGGTGAGAGCTGGGGGTGGAGTGGGTGAGTGGAAAGGAAGGACACAAATGTTTCCTAAGAATCTACTGTCAGCTCAGTACTGTACCTGGTGACCATTTTCCTTGAGTGGTCAGGGAAATCATGGATCATGGGGAGGTCAAGGAAGGGGAGAGGAGTCACAGAGCTGATTAAAACCTATGATGTCTTTCTATTCTCAGAGAGGGGTTCTTGTGGCAGCCCTGTGTATTCTGAGTGAGATTTCACATAAACATTTCAGGATACACGTTATACATTAAACCAGCAGAGCAACTACCTAAGGTTCCCAAATATTTTTAAAGAACTTTGGATTTTGTTTTTCTTTGACTTTCTAGAAGTATAATTTGAACACAAATGAATACTTAAAGCCGTGATAAATAATGTTCTTCTCCCAAGGGTATTGGGGTGTGGGGCATGGCATGAGGTGGACAATGTGGTGAGAAGTGTTTGAGGCAGGGGCTCCAATGGAAAGGAAGACACTGGGTGTTGAGGATCCATGAAATGATGAAGGGGCCCTTTCTATCTGGTTCACCAGGTCCCTGCTCTTGGTCCGAGTAAAAGGTGGCACATTTCATTGCTTTTTTTCTTCTCCTGACCCTCTTCATGCCTAAGACTCACCCAATCAATGGATCCCACCTTAGTAATCTCTCTAAGTCTCTAGTCTTGCTACTCAATCGTGGTTTGTTCTGTGGAATATGTCCTAAACAGAGAGAGAACAAGGACACTCGCTTTCAGATCCTTACTTGGACACAGACTATATGCTTTAATTAGATATCTTTATGACTCCTGGCTTCAGTTTCTTATCTCTGAAATCCCCAAATAACACCTGTGTGGGGCTCCTGATGTACAAGCCTTTATGCGTATTCATAAAGGTGTTGGGGTCTCCGGGCTGATAGTAACAAAGATGAGTAATAGAGAGTTGTTGACAATGTCGTATGTCACGATACACAGTGAATGTGATGATAATAGGCCTGTCTGGTGTTCAGAATCGCCCCCTAAGAGACAATGTTGGGCTTTACTTTGTCACAGTCCTCTGTGAGGGTAGTTAGTAGACTGAAAATTAGAAAAATTGGATCTTAGCTTACTCATGAGATATGTCATGTGGTACAATGATGGAAATAATATGTCCAGTGTGAACATAATCTGGAAGCTGGCTTTCTTGTTGTTGGATCTGTAATAGATCTGATTTTGATGATTTCTTGGCAGGCGACACACATATCAGGTGATATGGTCTCCCACCATTTGGTGGACCTTTGGAGACTCACAGTCTGCCCCTTTGGGCTGTGGAGATGCTTGAATTGCATTAAGGTCAAGGCCTTCTGTGAAGGAGACCATTTTCAATCCTTGGGACCACACAGGGGAAAGTGGGCATCTTACTGAACGACAAGGGTCTTGAAATAGGAAACCATAGGGCTTCCCCTCTGGAAGAGTGGTTTCTAAAGATCACCCAAGTGTTTCTGGTTTTCCAATTACAAGGCATTACCATTAAAAATTTCCCAAATCTTTCCTCCTCCTGGAGGAGTACTGTTTACATCTGAAGAGGTGGCCTCACTCACCTATACCAGGAGTCAATTACCTTTTTAGTAGTAGACATGGAGTCACCTCCCAAACAGAGGCTACAAGTCAGCAGCCACGGGTACTCCGGCCTTTCTGTAAGCAGCTAGATGCTAAGGGGAGAGCAGCCCCTAGTGCCTGCCTGCCCCTGCCAGCCCACTGCCATCAGGCCTGCAGAGGAGTCTTGGAAACAGAAACACACGCTGCTCTGTCCAGTCAGCTGCATTCGCATGCAGTTTTTCTTTCTTTCTTTCTTTCTTTCTTTCTTTCTTTCTTTCTTTCTTTCTTTCTTTCTTTCTACGCATGCAGTTTCTTTCCTGTTTTTGTTTCAGTTCCACTCATTGGGGTAAAGAAAATGTGCAGATGCCACTTTCTGCAATCAACAGACTTATTAGGCTAAAACCATGGGTGACCTCTCTTCTGGAAACTGGAAAAACACAATGGAAATGGAAGGTGTAAGCAGTCCATTGGCATGATAAGCTACATGTCTACAGGAAAATGCAGACATGAACAGGCATGGTCAGCCTAGCTGTGCTGAGCACAGGGACATGGCATCTGGGGACCCAGGGGACAGTGCACAGGGATGCTGGGTGGGGAGACTGAATGCTGGCCTGGGGTGGCCATGGACTGCAGGGGGAGCAAATTGAAGGTACATTTGGGGCCTTTTTTTTTTTTTAAGATTTATGTGTTTATTTAATTGACTGAGATAGAGAGCACGAGCAGGGGGGAGGGGCAAGCAGGCTCCCACCGAGCAGGGGGCCCCATGTGGGACTCCATCCCAGGACCCCAGAACCAGGAGCTGAGCCAAAGGCCAACACCAAACCAACTGAGCCACGCAGGTTCCGAGTCTGAGGGGTTTAAACCAGATGTTGGGATGAGGGCCGAGGGGCCCTGAGGCTGACCCTGGCTGATAAAGGGGTGCAGTCACTCAGGTGGATTCCTGTAAAGCCTCTGAGATGGACAGATTCTAAATCAAAAGGAAGGAGAGAGCTGAAAATGTGTGTGGAGTCCACAAAGTGAGACTGGAATGACCCATGGGTGAGAGGCAAACAGGAGACAGCAGAGAGGAAAGCAGGATCTGGGGTATGGCAATGCTTGCAGCCTGGCTTTTGTCTGAAGTTTTCTCCTGGATCAAATGTTCAGTCTGGCCCCCAGCCCTGCTCATTTCATCCCTTCTCTAGGCCCCCAGGCCAACTGCTCAGATCCCACAGAAGTAGTGCCAGTGGTCTCCACTCTGGAGGGTGTGTCTTAGGGAACTGGAGATACAAGCCCAGAAACTCTAGACGTGGGCCACGTGTTCATCCTTGGCCTGGGTTCCCCTCACTGTCCTCCTTTGGGATGTCCCCCCCACACACACACAAGTTACTTTATGGGATTTCAACCTTGGATCTTCTCTTCCCAGAACCTTTTGGGTTTCCTGCTTGCCTAAAGCATGTTCCTCTACACATCCCTATTCTGGACACCCAGATGTTTCTGTCATAACCCCATGCCAAACCAACCCCCATCTTATTGCCGAGCTATCCCTCCCTTTAGGATTTGGCCTCTGGGGATAGGAGAACACTGGAAGGAGCTTCAGAGTCACCTCCCTGCCCCCTGAGCATCAGTACAGAAACAGATGAGGAAGGTCCCACACCCCACACTCTCTAGCAGCAGCAGCAGCAGCAGCAGCAAGCAGCAGCACAACCTCCCCAAGACCAACTGATCCCTACCCAACAGGGAGAAATGGAGGAACTGGCAGGTGGTGCTTCAGAGGCATGGAGGGAAGGCCTTAGGGCAAAGGAAAGCAGTCTGGCTGGGATATTCCTTAAAGTGCCCTTTGGCTGGGCTGGGTGGGGATTAGCTTAGAATGGAGGGTGTCTGTATCCCCAGAGGCAGAGTCCTGCCCCATGGGGGACAGCGGGATCTCCTTAGTGAAGTCCTTGGCATCAGCAACCACTGTGACTCTCTCAGGCCCATCAGTGATTGGGCAGATGGTCAGGGGCTTTTTACCACAGGACCACAGGCAGAAGAAAGGCTGGAGGGGACCAGAGAAGGAGGCATTGGAGAAAGCATAAATAGGGGACCCATCAGTCATATTGTAGAAGGAGATGTCTCCTGATTCATAGTCCAGGAAAATCCCCACCCGACGGGGGGGTCCTACCAATGGGAGAGGGGTCCGCAGTGGGGTGAGGGCCCAGTACCCATTCCCATACAACTCCACAGCCCAGAACCCATTCTCAGGAGTCATGGGGTCAAACCCTTTCTTCACCACATTCTCCCTACATACGCCGACTGCCCAGTCAGCCCTGTCTCCCACCTCTACCTCCCAGAAATGTCGCCCTGACGTGAAGGTTTCACAACCCAACACACAAGGCCAGGAGTCAAATCTCTCTGGTTTCTCAGGCAGTTCTTGACGTGAATCTTCCAGTCGGACAGACTTTGAATCCTCAGACAAAAAGAGGTGGGGGTGGGCAGTGTCTGGATCCAGAGTCACATCAACTAGAGACAGAGAGTGCAAGTCTGAGCATCAGTGACCATTAGGGGTTACAAGACCTATTCTTTCTTTTCCAATAAATAAGTAAGTAAGTAAGTAAATAAGCACTGTTCTAGATGTTGGCAGGTCCTCTTAGGAGGAGAACTGTTTGGCCTGTGCAGCTGTCTCTATTTTCCTCTTCCATCAAAAGTCTTGGGGTGAAGTGTGAGCCAACTGTCTGCCAATGCTCAATGGTCCCTGTCAGAGGGGCTTGTCTTCTCATCATCTCCCAAGGGCCCTCTATGTGCTTCAAGGAAAATGTGGAGGCCATTTGCCATCATCTTTCCCCTATCTATCCTTACCAGGAAAATGGGTTAGTGTTTTTTATTTCCAAGTATGATAGGACTTTGAATCCCCGGGGGATTGAGCCTCAGAGCTCCTGAGAAGTTCAGAGCCACTGACCTCTGTGCAGTGTAGCCTTTTTCCATTCTGCAATGAGAGAGAGAGAGAGAGAGAGAGAGTCAGTGACAGGTTTTCTAACAAGAGAGAACATCTTGTTGGTGAAATAATGACAAGAAGAGAGAACTTACTGAGCTCTTCCAGGAGTTTCTCTGGAAAACAAACAAATACCTTAATGACCTTTTATAGTGGGCATGAGGGAGGGTAAAAAACTGGTGTGAGGAACACATAAAGGAGTAAATTGTTAATTCATGACTACCTGATTACAGAAACTTTGTCAATAATAAGGAACAAGGATTATGGTGGTGTTTTTTTTGTTTTTTGTTTTTTTCCTAAGAAATGTGCCAGCAGGAAGTTCCTACTGGTTTGGGATTAGATCTTCAATCTTTACTGGGAAACTGAGTTAGAAGTGAGAAGAGAGTCTGGGGGCTGGGGAGTGGCGATAGTGAGTGAATATCAGGTCTAATTTCTCAGTTAGCATTGGTTTTGACTCCTTCTACACCCCAGACCTTCATATTGGGTATCGGTGGATTCAGGTGCCTTATAATCCCCCCCTCTTGACTTTCAGAATTCTGGAATCAAATGTCTTCCCATTGGCAGCCATCTGAAAGGACTTGGATCTAACCCCATTTGGAAGCACGCCTGACAAGCAGCCCACGACTTACCCTTAGAGCTGAATTCATCCTTTCTGTGTCTAGATCTTTCCTTGTATAGTCTCCAAGTACAAACTATGGACCCAATTGTGAGAAGTCCCAGGACCATCAGGATGACAGCCACTGCCACCATCCAGGGAGTCAATCTTGGGAAGAAGGGAGCTGAAACAAAATCCCAAGAAGGACAAGTTGTTGTACAACTCTGAATAAATCCAGCTCTGTTTTCTGATTCCAAAGGGTTGGAAGAGAGGATGATTTGGACCTCTCCCACTCCTCCCCTGGCAAAAAATAGTCCTTCCAATGCTGCTTTAAGCTTTTCAGAAAAGTTTCAATCTTAAGTAGGTGAGGGCAGAGAAAGAGAGGAATGAAATGAACAGGAGTCATTTTGGGCCTGATGACATGCTGCTCACTAGGGGTGTCACCTTCGAGATTGGGACTGGCTGCCTGTGAAAGGATCAAAATGCCTTTGTTTTTTTGTTTGTTTGTTTGTTTTTCATGCCTTTGGCTAAGGATTTACTACACCTGCCCTTGGAAGGGATAAGAAAAAAATGTAAAAAGAAATAGCTAGCTCAGAGCCCAAATTCCTAGTTTATGGATGTCAAGGTTGCTACAAGATTACCCTGTTTTTCAACCATGCTCAGATGGTGGTTCCTTGTGCAGGCTATTTAACAGTGCTATGACAGCCAACAGGACAAAAGGCCACTCACACAAGTGTATTTGTTTAGAAGAAAACAACATGTATGGTCCACACAACCTCTTGAATTTCTGTTATATTGCAGAAAGCCTTAATGGTTTAGTAATTCCAGTTAATATAACCAAGATGATGTAATTATGTTTAATTTTGCAAGGTATACAACAGTGATCTACTTTGGTGTCAGTTTTTCAAGAAAGTTTGAATTCTGGGCAAGAAAAAAAAAGTCATTTCGGGACAGGACCTGAGAAATAAAGAAAATAATGGATCAATTCAGGTTATTGTGAAAATTCTTTCTTAACTGTCAATACAGGATGGGAGCCAAGTGAGTAGAGGAAGTAAATCAGGAAGGGAATTGTCACAGAATGGGACTGTGTGCCACAGAATGGGACTCAATGACCAAAGAATAAGGAAATGTTCCTGCCTAAGCCAGAGATAGTTTGGGGGAATAATGAGAATACCTGCTTTCCTGAGGACCCTGGAAACCTAGACAGAGCTCTAGCATGGGATGAGAAAGACGGAGGGGCAAGGGTGGAAATGGGTTTTCTTGTTACTTCAGGAGAGGAGGCCCACCCCCAGAGACAAAGTTTCTGTATCTAAGATCTATATCCCAAAATGGAAAATCTGGACTTTCTATGAGATCAAGGCAGATTTTATGGATTTAGGATTTAAAAAAATTTTTTTTAAGATTCTATTTATTTTTTTTTTATTTTATTTATTTATTCATGAGAGACACAGAGAGAGGCAGAGACACAGGCAGAGGGAGAAGCAGGCTCCATGCAGGGAGCCCAATGTGGGACTTGATCCTGGGACTCCAGGATCTAAAGGCAGGCGCCAAACTGCCAAGCCACCCAGAAGCCCCTAAAGATTCTATTTTTTGGGACACCTGGGTGGCTCAGTGGTTGAATGGTTCAGTGTCTGCCTTCAGCTCAGGGCATGATCCCAGAGTCCCAGGATTGAGTCTGACGTCGGGCTCCCTGCATGGAGCCTGCTTCTCCCTCTGCCTGTGTCTCTGCCTCTCTCTCTCTCTCTCTCTCTCTCTCTCTGTGTGTGTGTGTCTCTCATGAATAAATAAATAAAATCTTTTAAAAAAATATTCTATTTATTGGACAGAGAGAGAGAGAGAACAAGCAGTGGGGAGAGGCAGAGGGAGAAGCAGACTCCTGGCTGAGCAGGGAGCCCAAGGTGGGGCTTAATCCCAGGACCCTGGGATCATGACCTGAGCTGAAGACAGCTGTTTAACGGACTGAGCCACCCAGGGCCCCCTGATTTTATGTATTTAGAATCTTTTCTTTTCCGGGCACTGTGTGGCTCAGTGATTGAGCGTCTGCCTTTGGCTTGGTTTGTGATCCCGGGGTCCTGGATTCGAGTCCTGCATCAGGATCCCCCCCAGGAAGCCTGCTTCTCCCTCTGCCTATGTCTCTGCCTCTCTCTCTATGTACCTCTCATGAATAAATAAATATTTTTTTAAAGAATCTTTTCTCTTCTAATGAAATTGAGACCTTTATGCCAGTGGTCCTTTATGCTTAGGTGGGGAAAGTAGACAATTGTACCATGAAGGCATGGCTTGGGCAGGTGTCCCAGGCAATATGGCCTTGAAATGGCATCGAATAGGAACTCAGCCTTGATTTCACTGACCTGGTATCGAAATGTCTACTTCCTTCTGCTGGCCAAGAAGGAGGTTCTGGATACAGCAGGTTACATTCTTCATGGAGGGGTCTCTGATGACCACTGAAGCAGCCACACTGAACAGGCCTTCTTCATCAGGATTCCTAGACTCTGATGTGGATGAAAACTTTTCTCCCTCGGAAGTTCTCCACTGTATCTGGGGTTCTGGGTACCATCCTACTGAGGTACACTCCAGCCGGACTTCTCCACTTTCTTGAACTTCCATACGGATGTAAGGATCGGAGCCCAGAGCTATGGAGAGAGAAACTGGCCTTACTTCTTTAGTGGACGTTCTCCTGGGAGTCTTTTTTTTTTTTTTTTAAAGATTTTATTTATTTATTCATGAGAGACAGAGAGAGAGAGAGAGAGAGGGAGAATGGCAGAGACACAGGCAGAGGGAGAAGCAGGCTCCATGCAGGGAGCCCGACGTGGGACTCGATCCTGGGTCTCCAGGATCACGCCCTGAGCCGAAGGCGGCACCAAACCGCTGAGCCACTGGGGCTGCCCATCCTGGGAGTCTTATAACCATAGGGTTACACAGTTTTAGAAACAGAAGCACGCAGGGACTGGGAGTGAAGGATCCATCTTCATCTCCTATTTCATTACACAAGAAAGCTGTGCTATCAATAAAAGAAATTTCCTGGGATCCCTGGATGGCGCAGCGGTTTGGCGCCTGCCTTTGGCCCAGGGCGCGATCCTGGAGACCCGGGATCGAGTCCCACATCGGGCTCCCGGTGCATGGAGCCTGCTTCTCCCTCTGCCTGTCTCTCTCTCTCTCTCTCTCTCTCTCTCTCTCTCTCTCTGTGACTATCATAAATAAAAAAAAAAATTAAAAAAAAAAAGAAATTTCCTGCCTTATTGGAGAGGGATGCCATATCGGGACTTAGTGCTTGAGATGTGGGCAGGAGTTTGATGGGCCAACAAAGGGAGCTTTTCTAATCTGCAGGAAGAGCAAGACCAATGGCATAGACACAAGTAAGGGAGCTCCAGAGATGGGAGAGGGCTTTGGTCAGAAGTATTATGAAAACCTTGGGGGGTGGGGGGCGGGTAGGAGTACTAGGAGTGGGTATTTGAGGATGATCAGAGAAGGAGTATCCTTGAAGAGAAGGAGGTTGGAGGTTCTTTGCATTGAGATTGTAGCTGACAATTTAAGTTTCCTTTATCTGTGTTACTGATTCAGGGATTTTCTTAAATGGGTTTCAACCTCATCTTCCCTACACACAGTTATGTCCTAATATATTTCAACATAAAGCTGTTTTTCCTTTCTGTCTTCAGCCTGATTATTTTCTTACACTTCTACAGAGTACAAAAAACAAAACAAAACAAAACAAAAAACAAGCTGCAGAGAAGAATCCTCAAACATGTGTCCACAACTGTTGGTTTAAATCCATGTTCCAATTTGTGTGAAAATGTGGATACTTTTCATGAAAAATCTGCCATCTACAGCAGATTCTCAAAGATGTCTATCACTCATAAAAGGTAACAATGGCAGTTTTATGCTATCAGATCTCTAGGATTTTATAATCAATGTTTAAGATACTTCCCGAAGAAGGAAACGTGAGTTGTACATAATGCATTATGTCCCTGTTCTGAGGCAGGGACCCAAATTACACCCAAGTATTTTTTAAACTTTATTTTAGTATAAACATAAAAGGTAATATATTCATATACTGGAAATTATAGGGCAGTCTGAGGCATAGTAATAATATTCACAAGTATACAATACTTCTACAAGCATTGATAATGCAGTTTCTTAGGTATTGTCTGATTTTATTTCATTCTTGAAAAATCTCCTTTTGACAGTTTTACAGCAAGGAATAAGGCTCAGAAAGAGATTTGTTTGCTGCCATTCACTAGTAAGTGGGAAAACCAGAGACAGTGCATGCTTTCCTCCTGAATGCTTACCATTTTCTTTATTGTTTCGCCCTGAATTTTGGCTTGAAGCAAAATAAAAGGAATCAAAAACCAAAAACTTGTCTAGGTGGATCAAGAATGTTAAGGAGCAGCCAGGCTCTAGGATCTTAGGAAATCAGTCATTGGGTGCTAATCCATAAAGCAGCCTCAGAGGATGTGCATCACAGCCTCATCGTAGTGGGTGAAAAGTACGTAGTGAAAAGTAGATCAAATGTTCAGGGCTGAGCCTGAATCACGGAGACTACGGTGTGCCCATGGAAAAGAGTATTATAGAGCCATTCATTACATCTTACATTTATTGGATTAATAATACGGGGAAATGCTCTGACCCCACTCCCAAACGCCCCTCCCGCCCCCTCCCACTCTGGGCCTGCCCCCTTGTCCATCCTAAAAGGGATCTGGGCACTGCATCTGGTGGTTTCCAAAGTACCAGGGCCACAGGATAGCCCACCCCGCCCGGGTCAAAGCAGGCGTACTTACCGGCCACCTTCAGGTGCACGCTGGCCTCCTCGTAGCTTGCGTCCTGCCGGAAGAAGCAGCGGTACTCGCCGTCGTCCGAGGCCCTCACCCGGTGTATCCTCACGGCGACGCGCCCGGCAGCGATGTCGGCGTCCACGAGCGAGGCGCGGCCGCGGTACTCGGCCACCTGCTCGGCCTCTTGCTCGCGCCCGTCCCTGCGCACCAGCACCACGGCCGCCGCCTTCCCGCGGAACCAGCGCAGCTCCATGCGCTCGGCGCTCACGTTCGGGGACAGGTGGCAGGGCAGCTCCACGTCTTCCCCCACCGCCGCCACGACCGGCTCCGCGGGTCCAATCACGTCAAAGCGGGCTGCGAAAAGCGGGCAGGCAGACAGCGTGGACGCGGGAGCCCCGCGGCCGCGCAGACCCAAGTCGGTGTCGGCAGCGGGAGTGCCCGGCGGAGTCGCTGGGGCCGCGAGAGGGAGGCCCGGGCGGGGGAAGGGGGGGGCCTACCCGAATCTGGCTTGGACAGCTGGAAGAGAGTGAGGAAGAGTAGACACGACCTTGGGGAAACTGCCATCTCCAAGCCTTCCTGGGGCAGAAGCTACTGGTGGCCTACCGGTGGTCGTCAGAACTCCCGCCTGGGTGAGGAAGGAACGAATGAATGCACGGGAGATCGCGACGTTTCTTTCGACACCCTTCCCTGCGTCCTCCCCGCGGCTCCTTCCAGCTTGGAACGCCCCGGACCTTTGCACCTGAAGCCCTCCGCTCGCCCCCTCCCACTACAGACCCTTGGTCCCGCAGCCACGGCACCCGCGCACCCACTGCCCCTTTGGTCGGCCGCGCATGCCGCCGCGAAAGAGACCCTAAAACCCCAAGAGAATCTTAGAAGAGAATGGTGAGGCCTAGTAACCATGAATGCGCTTCGTATCAACGAACAAGGCTTGGGACCACGGCTTTTCAAAAACCTCTTTTCCCCCCAAATATAGTAGTTTGGTATTCGCTTTGAGCAATGCAGGCTGAGACAGAAACCGGGGGTTGAAATGGAAGAGAACAGAGAAAAGATGAGGGGAGAAGGCACAAGAATGGGAACCCCGAGAGAGCAAAGAGTAGAGGGTAGAGGGATAGAGGGACTGGGAAAGAAATGGGGAAGATGGAGCCAGAGGAAGAGCAAATGCGCTGCTGGCTGCGGGCTCTCGGGTTCTCTGGAGGAGCGGGAGCGGTCACCGTACTGATCTCTGATCTGGCAGGAAGATGCACCAGGGGGTCCAGCGAGCAATCGGTAGAGCTGGCTGTGGCCCCAGGAGCAAAAGTTAAAGACAGCGGAAGAAGGAAGGGGGAAATGCTCTCAGGAAAGCCTGCCCCCAGGTCCCACATGCCTTTACTTTGGGAGTGGGGGGGAAGTTTTCCAGAGAGATGGTGAGTCTATTTCTGGTCTTCAGCTCAAAGACCAGAATATACACTGATGAGCTGGACTCAATCAAAGGTGACTGGACAAAAAAGAGGATCAAGAGAACACTAAAATGAGATGTAAGGCCTTAAGCCTGTTCATTCACCTCTTCAAATCTATCTCCTTTTACCTCTAAATTAGGAATATTGTTGATAATACCTTCTTTGGAAAGGCACTGGATTAAATGAGATGAAGCAAGTAAAGTGCTTAGAGAACTGTAGGGATTTAGAAGATGGTAAGTTGTTATCCTGTTTGTTGTTTATGTGGGTTGAAAATTTAAAGGTAGGCTGGGAATGCATGTATGTGATGCAAGACCTCAAAGTGACCTCCCTGCAAGCAACTCAATCTGCATCTCCCTATTTTGAACTAAACCTCTTATTGTTATGAAAAAGATTTTAAATATGGATAAACATTTTTATTTTTTAGGATATTATTATTATTATTATTATTGAGAGAGAAAGAGAGCATGAACTGGGGGGTGGGGTGGGAGAGGGGAGAAAGAATATTAAACAGGAGCCCACGGCAGGGCTCTATCTCACAACCCTTAGATCAGGACCTGAGCCAAAATCAAGAGTCTGATGCTGAACTGACTGAGCCCCCAAGGGGTCCCTTTAAGACTTTATTTTTAAGTAATCTCTACACCCACTGTGCAGCTCAAACTGACAACTCTAAGATCAAGATTTGCTTGCTCCACTGACTAAGCCAGCCAGCCACCCCTGGAAAAACATTTTTAAAAAGTAGATCACTGGGGCACCTGGGTGCTCAGTTGGTTAAGCACCTGCTTTCAGCTTGGTTCATGATCCCAGGTCAAGCCCCACATCCACACTGGGGGGGGGGGGGCCCTTGCTCAGCGGGGAGCCTGCTTCTCCCTCTCCCTCCCTCTGACCCTCCTCCCCATTTGTGCTCTCTCTCTCTCTCTCTCTCTCTCTCTCTCTCTCTCTCGGTCTCAAATAAATATATAAATAAATAAAATCTTTAAAACAAAAGCTCATTTAAGGTCAATCTCTTCCAAAAGTAAGCATGTGCAACCACTCTTCTAGAATTTCTCGTTTCTTCACTTGTATCTTGCTGTGGTCCCATCTGAGCACGATAACTAGAGGGGTTTTAGGAAGAAGCTCCCAAGCATTGCCCAGCTCAGGTGAGAAACACCTCAGGTGTTATCTTGGGTCTTATCCATAAATTTAAAGTAAATTATAGCATTGTACTTCATTCTATATGAGGTTTGTTTATATATGACTCTGGATAGCTTATGCCCCCTCCAAGTGAAACCAAGTCTCCAGGATGATGGTTGGGTTTATTCTGTGACAGACAACTTCCTGGCCCCTTTCTCTGCTAGTGCACACCTGACCTGAGTCTTGCTTTGACAAGCTCATATATTTACTTCTGTCTTTTGTTTGCAAGTCTATCTTCCTCTCCTAACCTAAACTCTTGAAGTTCCTATTCTCAGGCTTTTCATCAGCATATAAACCAAAATAGAATTTGCAGCTCAAATCAAACCAGCTGGTCTTTGCCCTTCCTAGTTTGAAGTGCTTCTGTCTTGTTCTCATCCTGGCTTTTGGAAATATTACCTATAACCAGTTTCTTTTCCTTAACCCACTCTGACTAGACTTCTGACCTCTGCTCTACATTGTCAAAAAAATTGGGGGGCAGGGGTAAAAAAAAAAAAGAGCTTTTACTTGTCTCAAGGGAGCTAGACTGACAAGGAAGAGGCCAGGGGAATAGAAAGCAATGGTATCCAGAACTCATGCTACGTGGCAGCCACAGTGTCAATTGGGTGACCTCTGAGTCATCTCTCCATAAACTAACAGCCCTAGACCCCCAAAGGCAGGATCTCTGAATCCAGGCTCACTCAGGGAAAAAGTCTACGAGCCCCTATCCCTCTAGGCTCACGCTGTGTGTGAAGTCCTGTATGGTGTGGGGCTGCTATGGGAAAGGTCCTGCTACTGCCCAGCCCCCTGGAGACTGGAAACACAAACTTCTCCCTTAGAGACATGAAAATCATTTGAGTTGAGGAATGTGATGGGCTCCGCACGAACAAATCTAACAGCAAAAATGTCAGGACTTGCCTCCCCTTGCTCTTTTCCAGTATGGCTCTAATTTCCCAGTGCTGTAGATCAGTTGAATCCAGGGATTACGCTCATCCTTGTCCTACGGGATCTTCATCTGCTCTTTATTGAGGCAACTGCTTGCTGCTTCTCTCTCTCTCTCTCTCTCTCGTTTTTAAGTTTATTTATTTCTTTACTTAAGTAATCTCTGCACCAGGTGCGGGGCTTGAACCTAGAACCCCAAGATCCAGTCACAGCTTTTCCCACTGAGCCAGTCAGTCCTGCTGTTCCTTCTCTTTTTAAAATTAGTTTTTTTAGGGGCACCTGGGGGGTCCAGTTGGTGAAGTGTCTGCCTTCAGCTCAGGCCCTAATCCCAGGGTCCTGGGATCGATCCAGCCCCACATTGATGGATCCTGCTTCTCCTTTTCCCTCTGCCTGCCGCTCCTCCTGCTTCTCTCTCTCTCTGTCAAATAAATAAATAAGATCTTTAAAAAAAATTAGTTAAAAAAATTAGTTTATCTTGCTAAAATAATCCATACAGATTTTTAAAAATCCAAACAGTTAAAGAGCTTTTAGGAAAAGCATCTATCTCACTTCTACATCTCATTCCCCAGAAACAGCTTCTTCACCTGCTTGTATTATCTGGCATTTATCTAGGTATTTCTCAAGACTATAATATATTACCTTCTTTTTTTTTTTTTAAGATTTATTTACTTGAGAGAGAGAGCGTGTGAGCATACACGTGTGTGTGGGGGGGGGTGGAGGGCAGAAGGAGGGAATCTTCAAGCAGACCTCCCTACCCCACCCATGAGATCACGACTTGAGCCAAAACCAAGAGTCCATCCCTCAACTGACTGAGCCACCCAGGCGCCCTGAAACTATAACCTATTTCTGTTGCTATTTCTTGACATAATCATTTTTAGATCTCACTTTTCAAAGCCCTAGCAATTAAGTTGATGATGATTTAGTTCTTGTGACAGTTAATTTCCTTTGTCAATTGACTGGACCTAAGCAATGCCCAGATAGCTGATAAAACATTATTTCTGAATGTCTGTGGGAATGTTTCTGGAAGAGATTAGCATTTGAATCTGTAGACAGGTTAAAGTAGATCTCCCTCAACAATGTGGACGGGCACCATCCAATCCATGCAGGGCCCGAATGGAAAAAACAGGAAGGGCAAATCTGCTCTCTGCTTGAGCTGGGACATCCATCTTCTCCATCCCTCAGACATTGGCTCCCCTGGTTCTCAGGCCTTGGAGTTTGGACTGGTAGGCCATCACTTTTCCTGGGCATCCAGCCTGCAGGGCACAGATCATGGGGCTCGTCTGCCTCCATAATCCCACAAATCAGCCCTCCTAACACATCTTTTTCTATACATCTGTATAGATCCTGTTGGTTCTGTTTCTCTAGAGAACCCTGATGGATACAGCTCTTTAATCACCATTAGAAATAGATCCCTTTTGTTCCATGTTTCCAATGCTATGGTTCTGTAGCTATAATTTTATGGATCCAAGTATCACATCTGATTAATTTCTTTTCCTATACAATTTCTTGGGTTTTTCGGGGATGGAAGAGGGAAGGAATTAAATGGTTCATCTTTTTTTTGTTTGTTTGTTTACATTTCTGTGTTCCCATCACAGGTTTTTTCCCACCCCTCCAATAGCCTCTAGGTATAGTTTCCACAGTGAAATACATCAGATGGTTTATTAGTGTTAGGACGTGTCCCCCTGCCCCCAGGGTCCCTCCCAGAGCGATGTTTAACTTACCTGAGCCTGTTTCACTGGAGGGTTTTCTAAATAACAGATTCTGATTCGATAGATCTGGACAGGATCAGAGTGGTCCTAACTGAGCTGCTGGTCCACAGGAGTTTACCCTGATCATTATTCAGAAGTCACAAGTGAGGAGGCAGCTGGCAGCTTTATATGAATTGTGGAGCTGCCCCTGAGGGGTGGCTCTGGCTCAGGGTCTTGGGCTAATTTATGTTGCTAAACCAAGCTATAACAAAGGGTGAGGGCCAACGGGCACCGGGTATAGTACTGAATTCAGTGGTTTCCGAGGGAGCTTCATGGTCAACTGCTCTTTCTTGGGGCACACACCGTTGACATGCAGATAATAACTAGAAGTGATCTAATGATATATCCACATTGTAACACTAACCTCATTCCCCTATTTACCAAGCCTGTGTTAAATTCAGGTGTGGGGACACCTGGGTGGCTCAGTTGTTGAGCATCTGCCTTCAGCTCAGGACATGATCCTGGGATCCTGGGATTGAGTCCCACATCAGGTTCCTTGTGGGGAGGCTGCTTCTCCCTCTGCCTATGTCTCTGCCTCTCTGTGTCTCTCATGGATAAATAAAAAATAAAATCTTAAAAAAAAAAATTCAGGTGTGTGTGGCCGTACCAGGGTTTGCATTTGGGAAGGGTGGCTAGAAAGGAAACAAAAAGGCCTGGAGAAAATACAGGGATAGATTTCTGTGTAGAAGAGGGACTCCTGGAGTTGGAGGGAGGATAAGTGTGCCCTGGGAGCAAGACACTGAGGTCTGGTTGAGTGGGGACATCTCTGAGTCAGGTTCCTGGAAACCTGAAAAGGAAAGTTCCTGGAACACAGAAGGAGCAGACAGGGAACTCATGGGAGCCAACAGAGTGAGGTTGGACTGGACAGGCGTAAATTGGAAGATCCTGTGACGGGGTCAGGGTGGTGCAGACCACTTTTGAGTTCTTTCCAGAATCTCTCCCCTGCAGCCTCTTTTCCTGTTACCTGGGAAGCAAACCCTCCAAAGCTACATGCATTCACCTTCTGCGAGGAGGCTCTAAAAATATGAAAATACAGAGTTTAGCTCTTCTTTGGCTGAGGATCTTTTAGGGTGAATATCACAGAAAGTGTACGCAGGTGATTACTGAGAGAGACAGACACAGAGAGAGACAGAAAGAGAGACACAGACAAGTTAAGAGGAGAGGGAGGGGAGAGGAGGGAGGGGGAGAAGAGGAGGGGAAGGAAGAGAAAGAAGGGGAAAGAGTCAGTGAATGTGAGAGATTCAGAAGGCATCTCTTTTTTTCTTCAAAGAATTGATACACCATGCTAAGAATTGTCAGTTATCCTCAGGAGAAGACCTTTCCCAACCTGTTCAGTGGCTTCCACTCCCAGCCCCTGGCCCCCACCCAGCCTGCCTGCACCCCCCACCCCACAACTTCTTTCCTATTATCAGTTACAGATGAGTGTACCTTCAAGTTACTCAGGGAAAGAAATGCATGCACTAATCTTACGATCATATTTAGAGAGGCCTGTATGTCTGTCTAAGGACAAAGTTGAGGCAGTTTACACTCTCTCTTCTCTCTGCCCTCATTACTACAATGCTGTCAGTATTTTTCACTTCTGTGCATCCTGAGGCTTCGAATCCATGGTTGGTAGGAGTTCAGAGTCCCAGAAATAATGAAGAGCCACCGATGTGCATACAATTGTGGTTTTCACATTCTGCAGTAACAGAGACATTTTATACGAGATGAAAAGCCTTGTTTATAGAAAAAAGTGGGAGAAACCCAGAATTCTTCCAACCTGTTTTAGGTGTTTCTTTGAAAAATAAACCGAACAAAAGCAATCTTAATGATTTGAGCTAAGATATGAGGAGGATGGAATGTGCTTATGAATCACACAATGGAGTCTCTGTTCCCTTCTGTGAATACCTGATTATCAAACACCTGTCAATAAATCATGAACAGGAATGCATGTGTTTCAGTTTAAGTTCTTAGAAATCTGTAGGAAGTTCCTTTTGGCCGTAGATGCTAAGAGATGTTGCTGTATCTGGGGAAGTTAACTTGAAGTCTAAAGCCAAGTTTGGGAGGGATGGGTATGAGGGCTGGGAGGCTGACAGGGGTTCTGACTTCCTGATGGCCATGCTGGAGCCCACCAGCCAAAGCTGACCTGTGGCCAAAATAAACTGAATTTGATGGCACTTGTTACAGCAGTATGGACTCCACATGCCATGGGGAGGCTGGGAGGTGGGGTGTCTCAGTGAGAGGATATGGGAGGAATTTATAGGATTTCAGTTTGTGTTGGTGCTTTCAGAGAGGGTCAAAGAAAGAAAGGTTGCTCTGGATGAATGCTGTTGGAAATCAGGCGACTGTTGTAGAATCAGATATTCCAATTTTTATTAGGAAGCAGAACAAAGTGGGTTAAAATTTTAATTGGTCAAGAAGCAGTTAGCCGAGACAGGGATGTATAGTCATTTTTGTGGTTTGCATGTGGGTCTTGTATTTTTGTCTGTGCTGTAACATGATTACACAGGGGACCTATCTATTTTGTCTCACTCCATTACAATCACAGAATGGTCTTGTCTGATGCTGACCACAACTGTCATACCTGCTTTTTGCTTTCTCAATTACAGGCCATATTCTTTCTCAGATCTAAAAGTATTTGGGGTTTTATAACCTTTAAAATACCTTCTAGGGCAGCCTGCTGTTTAGCACCACCTTCAGCCCAGGGCGTGATCCTGGAGACCTGGGGTGGAGTCCCACATCAGGCTCCCTGCATGGAGCCTGCTTCTCCCTCTGCCTGTGTCTCTGTCTCTGCCTCTCTTGGTGTCTCATGAGTAAATAAAATAAAATCTTAAAAAAAAAAAATCCCTTCTATAGGGATCCCTGGGTGGCTTGGCGGTTTGGCACCTGCCTTTGGCCCAGGGCATGATCCTGAAGTCACGATTGAGTCCCACGTTGGGCTCCCTGCTTTTCCCTCTGCCTCTCTCATGAATAAATAAAATCTTTATATATATTTCTAAAGATTTTATTTATTTATCCATGAGACACAGAGAGAGAGGCAGAGATACAGGCAGAGGGAGAAGCAGGCTCTCTGTGGGGACCCTGATGGGGGACTCATCCCAGGACCTTTTGACCCTTTGCCCTGAGCCGAAAGCAGACGCTCAACCATTGAGCCACCCAGGTGTCCCATCCCTTCTATTTTTTTAAAAAAGGTTATTTATTAATGTAATCTCTTCACCCAACTTGGGGCTAGAACTCAACCCTAAGTTCAAGAGTCATACGTTCCTCTGATTGAGCCAGCTGGGCACCCTGAATTTTCCCCTTCAATTTTTGAAAAATCCTAGAATCCTATATCTAGATCCTAGATTGGTATGACTTTTGACTGAAAGTCATCTTAAAGGATATGGAATCCAAGCACATCTACGGTGTAAATGTTTACAAGGCACAAACACCCCTGACAAGCAGCCTGATATGGTGTAACAGGAATCAAACTCATCCTTCCCATGTGCTCCCCACCCCAATTCACTTCCAAAATAAAAATCCTGTCCAAATGAGACACCTCAGGCATGTGATGACCACTAGCAGAGAATTAGCCTTAGATGTACAGGAAGAAAGAAAAGCCCTTGAAATTTTGATGATGAAAGACAGCAGAATAGGCCACCCCAAATATGCCACCTTGTCATAGACATTATTTTGAGCTAAAGGTAATTTAGAAGCAGCCGACACAGAAGCAAAGATTTCAGAATTTTTTTCTGGATGCTGCATGGAAAATGTATTTTCTTTGGAATTATGCATTATGTGCATTTAAACTCTGCCAGGAAAAAAATATTTTTTTAATCTACTTTTTGTAGTTAGTAGTTATTTGTATAAATTAAAGGTTTTCAAGTTAGAAAAAAAGGAAGCAACCCACACAGGAAAAGCTCCTTACCTTCACCCCCCTTTTCTGTCCAAAGGCTGGATATAAATTCTCCTTTTACTGGAGACTGATTTACTAGCCCAGAGAGGAACCAGAAGAATCTGCAAAGAAATCTTTCTCCATTACTTCCCTCTCTTCTTTTTACCTTCCCTTGGGGCCTAAAATTGTTTTCCTTGGTCTGTTCTTTATTGAAGATAGTAGATAAATTGGAATTCTAAACTGCTATTCTGAGTTCCTTCTCATTGACGTTTCCCTCTTGTGATGTACACCGCAGACATTGTTTTTCTCCTTTTGATCTTGTTAGAGTCCCGGCTGCATCCTAAAATGGGGAGGGGTGGAGTTTTGCCTCCGCTAGCTACAAGGCTATAGGGAGAAAGGGCAGGTGCCCCACTAGGTGAGCCTCTGGCATAGGGGTTATCCCAATGAAGTTACTCCAGGAACAGTGGGTTCAAGGACGCTCACGTCCTCCCCCGTCCCACTGAAAGCAGGAAGCATATCTCCCATACGAAACATACCCTCCCTTTATTAAGTAAAAAAGCATCCGCATCTCCAGAGGACAGAGGCTGGAGAAAGCCAAGGAGATACTGGAGGGGGGACTGCTCCCAACCCCAGGGCTCTTTGGCTGTCTTAGCAAAAGCAGTAATTGACGCGAGGCCAAGGAAAGATCAGGCCGTGTTTATTGGGGGTTTATGCTCCAAGACCAGGGAGGCGGCCCAGGGAGCTAAGGTCTCAGCCCGCTCGCTGACAAAAACCCCAGAAAGCCTGTTAATAGGCTGAGGAGGGAAGGATAGATGTCCTAGAACCGAGGGGTGGAGATTCGGGAGGCTGTGCGCAGGTGCGCAGGTGCGCAGGTGCCCAGGTGCGCAGGTGCGCAGGTGCGCAGGCGCGAGGCGGCACCAGCCTCCCACGCCTCATTAGCATCTTAAGCCTCCACCCCAGGCCCCGACGGTGAGCGTTACAATGAGGAAAAAAGTAGGTGAACGGTCGGCGCCAAGGTCCACCAGGGCACAATCTGGTTTCGCCCGGTTTCTTCTGGCAGACATCCTGCTTCAGCATCCCTGGAGACGTGCTCACAAACGGGTAGCTCCGCCTTGTCTTCTGGGTGACCCGCTGGGAGCACCGGGCTTGGCGGTGAGGGCAGGGGTGGGGTACCAGACACAGCCCCTGTGCTTGCTAGCTCAATTCCCCTGAGAGATTTTACTCTCCTTATTTCTGAGGAGGAGGGGCTGAAGGTCTCCTCTTCTGAAACTGCTTCCTGCGGAGCCGGGGCGTTGTCCCTGTCCTGCCTGGAGGAGTAAAAATCTCGATGACTGCTCTACTGATCTATAGGGTCCTTGTTCTTCTTGGGACTGGATAGGTGGGTCCCTTGTGCCACCATCAGTCTGACAGGAAACTGCTGTCTAGAAGACACAAACTTAACCAGATTAAAGAGGCAAGGTCTGAATATTAACAAAAGAATTATTGGCACAAGCCAACCTAGGAAAGGAAGGTATCCTGTGATGTTAGGAGTCCTGAAGAGTTTAGGGATTGTGATTATGGAACCCATGCAACCATCTGGTTTGTCTGTAAATCTCCTGAATATTTAGTTCAACTTCTCCAGAGATGCTGATGTATGTACAGCAGGTGTTGTTGACCACTGCACAGACACCCCCTTGTTCAGCCCGAAGATAATCTAGAGCTAACCGATTGTCAAGTATGTCATTAGCCAAGGAATCCAGGGACTCCTGGAGGCCCTCTAAGGCATCACTAGCGTTTGAGGCCAGGTTTTCAATGACCTGGGTAAGGTTTTTTAAGGTTGTTTCATGATAGGCAAACTCTCCCCAAGGGGCAGCCAATCCCATGGCTTCTTCAGTTGCTCCCAAGATTAATCTGAGTGCTCTCGTATGTCTGGTTTGAGAAGTGACATTATATATAGTGGCGCCTAATCCTTTAGGGCCCAATCGTCCCAAAGTGCATTCTCCCCGGAAGTGAACATTATCTAAACACGAATAGGCCACTGCCTGAGGAGGCCAAGAGAAAGAGGAATTGGGGCTCCCTTCATAGGGTAGTTTATTTTGTGGTGGACCGCAGAGAAACAGATACCCAGGGGGAGCACATGCTTGGTGGGGTGAAGAGGAATTAAACCAGCTTCGTAAATGGGGACCCCAATTAGGTGCAGTTTTGCATCTGGGCGACAGGGGCCCTCCATCCAGTGGCCCCCCACCTAGTTCTGAGTCCTCTTCTATTCCCTCCTGGCTATCAAAAGCAGATGGGGTTTGGTAGGTGAGCCTCCAGGAAGGGGTTGCTGTTCCTTTCCAGTATGTACAGGAGAAGTTAGGTTGGTCGTCTGGAGAGAGTAGAGACGAGTCTACACACCAGTGGGTCTTGTTGGGGGTACATGTAGAGCTTGCAGAGGAGAATGACATAGGATAAATGGAGGGCAAGCTGCCCACATTGGTGAGGCAGGCGTTTGTCCGGCAGGGACAACAGGGCTGTCCCTGTTTTTTACAGAGAAGAGGCCGCTTAACCTGGAGACCAGTTTGATTCCAAGAGTCTGTAAGCCTGACACATGGCATAGCATCACGATCATCGAGTTCTACCACTAGAAGTGGTATGCTCCTAACAGACCCAGAAGTCAAGGTGAGAGTAATATCCTCATTTATAGGTACAAACTGGAGCTTAGGAATCCCATCTTGTGGGCGTGGATGACAGATCCAACAATTGGAGAGATTATTTCCAGAGGCCACGATGCTAGAAAAATTGACAATTGAGTTTTCTCTCCAGGTTGCCCCCACTTTGCTATTTTCTTCCCAACTCATTCCCAGGAGAAGGGCCAAGAGGAGGGTCCACTTCATCCATCCCATAATGATGGGATTGGTTTTGATCTTCTAGACCCCGTAAGGGCAGAATGGGTCTTTCCCAGGGAGGGGAGGTGACCGGAAACAGTACTCACAGAGAAGGAAAAGTAAAACAAAGGCAACAAAAAGCAAAGTTGGCAAACCAAAGCACCAAGGTATTATCACTTATCTGATTATGAGGGTCGCTTTTCAAATAAGTACTTGAGATCTTCAACAGGCTCACATGAGTAAGATGGTCCAGGCCTTTCAGGAATTTCTGAGGCTGTCCAGGAGAAAAAGGTATCAGCCTGGAAAGATATACGCAGCTAGGAATTCCTCGCAGCTTAACTGCTATTGGGGTGGCTAAAATCACCCAATAAAGGCCTTTTCACTTGGGTGGCAACTGATCTTCCGGGGAGTCCTCCTTCCAGGGTTTTAAGGAGGATCAGATCCCCTGGATTAACTGCAGTGGTGGTGGTTGGAGGGGTTCTCTTCTAAATTGCCTCTAGGGGGGTGCTGGTGGTATGTGATTAGCATAATCCCTAAAGCTTTTTGCACCTAGCCCAAATAAAATGCTGCAAACTCTGGCTTATTTTCCCATCTAGTAAAATACCAGAGTTGAGCAGGGGTCTCCCATGTCATTTCAAATGGGTTGAGTCTTAGGTTAGTCTTAGGGGCAGTGGCAATCCTGAGTAGTGCCATAGGAAGCAATTGGACCCAAGGTTCTTTTTTTTTCTTTTTTTTTTTTTAAATGGTGGTTTTATTTTTTATTTTTTAATATTTTTTTCTTTATTTATTTATGATAGTCACAGAGAGAGAGAGAGAGAGGCAGAGACACAGGCAGAGGGAGAAGCAGGCTCCATGCACCGGGAGCCCGACGTGGGACTCGATCCCGGGTCTCCAGGATCGTGCCCTGGGCCAAAGGCAGGCGCCAAACCGCTGCGCCACCCAGGGATCCGGACCCAAGGTTCTTAAGTTTGTTGACAAAGTTTTGCTAAAGTCCCTTTCAGGGTAGGATTCATCTTTTCATCCTTCTCTGAAGAATGGAGGTGCCAGGGAGCATACAATTTATAATTTATTCCCACAGCTGCCGAAAGGCTCTGGGTGATTTTAGCTGTAAACAGAGGCTGTTATCGCTTTGGAGAGACTTGAGAGCCCTAACCAGGGGAATTCTCTTTTAGGAAGGAGTTCTTGACCTTGGTTGCCTTCCCAGACTAAGTGGGGAAGGCTTCTACCCATTCAGTAAAATTATCAACAAACATGAGGTGGTATCTGTAGCCCACTCATGGTGGAAGCTGGGTAAAGTCTACTCACTTGTCTTCTCCAGGATATGTTCCCCTGGTGTTGGACTGGTGTAAGAAGTGGGAATCAAATGGATGGGTTTGAGATGCATAAATTATAGGCGAGGGTAACTTGTTTTACTTTATTGTCTAAGTCCCTATCCTGAAAAGACCCTTTGCACCAAGTCCCAAAGGATGTCTCTTCCATAATGGGTGGCATCATGGAAATGTTGGGCTTCTAGAATGAGAATTTTGTTCTCTCTCCTAAGCCACCCAGCTTTGTTCTGTATATCCCCATGTCTCAGATCTTCATGTTCCAGCAGCAGGTATTGAGGGCAGCTGGGAAACTGGTAATAATCTGAGCTGGCTCTTGTGCTCAGGTGGCCTATTTAAACAGTTGATTGGTCAGCCTTAATACTTTCTTCAATTACAGAGGTCTCATCTTTCTGACAACTTTTACAATAGACTCCAGCTACCTGATTGAGAAGTTGCGCTATCTCCAGGAGGGTGAAAATTAGGGCTTTATGTTTTATTGATAAATTTGTAACTGTTAACATTCCCCTTACTTTCCAGAAGAAAGACTTATTATTACGAATCAGTATAGAGACTTCATCTTTTCCCTTCTCCCAACTGTAAGGCCCTAATTTGGGCTATCAGTTTAGTCTTTTGGGTGGGCAGAGCATTGAGGTGGAAAAGCTCAAGCCTCTATGACTCTACTTAGGCTCATTATGTAGCCTGGCTTCCAGATGCCTCCTTCCGCAAAACTGCTCCTGTCCATAACCGACACCATATTTGGATGGTCAAGGGGTTTTTCTTGAAGGTCAGGTCTACTAGAATATGTCTGTTCCATTGTCTCCACACACTGATGCTGGGAACCTTCCTCTTCTACAGACGGGAGCAGGGGAGCAGGGTTTAGTTTGGCATACGTTTAAAATAACATCTGGGGAATCTAGCAAGAGGACCTGATCCTTAGTTAACCTTTCTCTGGTCAGCCAGTGGTACTCTTTAATTTCTAGTACTGTCTGAACCTGATGGGTAGTCAGCAGTTGACCCAGGTCAGCTTAGGGGTCTCGCTCACTAAGAGAGCTGGGCTGCCACTGCTCACAAGCAGCTGGGCCATGCCTGTGCAACTGGGTCTAGTTATTTCGAAAAACAGGCTACCAGTCTCTGATCAGGGTCCAGCTTTTAAGTCAGAACCCCCAAAGCAATTCCCTGCCTCTCAGGGACATCTAAGTAAAAGGCTTATACAAACTTGGGCAGGGGCCCCACCCAATCCAGTTTTCAAGGCTTTAAAAAGGCCCAGTGACATCCGTGTTGTTGGGGTCCCTTTCTCCCCACTCAAGGCCTATAAGGGGAGTTAGCATCAGACCATAATTAGGGAACCAGATGCAACTGAGCTCTGCCATAACCTGAAAGCCACAGAGAGTTGCTTTCTGGTTTGGGAAACGGGCACAGTGCTGGTGGTCCTCTTGGGATCCCCAGTCTGGTGTGAGGATCAAGTCCATATATTGGCCCTATTGTTGTGATATGTGGGCTTTTGATGGGGGAACCCTATATCCTCTCTTAACTAGAAAATTTCAGGTTTTTATAGTCTTATGATCTGAGGCCTGCTTAGCCAAATTGGCTATTAGCAAATTCTCAACATACTATAAGAGGATCCCATCTCTCACTTTTAATTCCCATTTAACTGTCTTGCATAGTACATTTCCAAATAGATGGGGGCTGTCTCCAAAGCCCTAGGGAAGCACCGTCCAGGTGTACTAAGTAGCCCCTTAAGTACCAGGAGTTTTTCATTCAAAGGCAAGTAAATCTTGACCCTCCTCGTGAAGGAATATGCAGAAAAAGGCATCCTTCAGGTCTGGCACAGTGGAAAACTGAGCATCGCCTGGGACCTGGCTAAGCAGATGATTCAGGCTGGGTACTCTTTGGTGCAGGGGAACAATTATTTTATTCACAGCCCTCAAATCCAGTACAAAGAATATTCCCCACTGGGCTGCCTCACTGCGGGATCTGGGGTATCACATGGGGATTGACAAGGTTCAATCAGCCCATACTTGAGAAATTGTGAAATTAATGACTGTGTTCCTCTTAAAGATTTACTCTGTATGGGATCCTATTATTCCCAAGGACAGCCTGCTCTGGGTTTTAACTTTATCTGAATGGGGTAGACATTTTTTGCCTCACCCAGGACATGAGTGTCCCACACAGGTGGAGCTACTCGGTTTTGTGTTCTGAGCAATATTTGAGGGCTCAAATCTGGGACCATCCAGCAGTGCCTGTGGATGAATTTGGGTTTCTGTTCAATTTTCATCTTAGTACCAACCCTTTTCAAGGTAAAACATGGCTCCAGAATCATTTAGCAGACCTCTCCCCACCAGTAGGGTCATCAGAAAAGAATGAGTAATAACATTTGATCTGGCTTCACAAGCCAGGGGAAGAGTAAGCTGTCTTACCTTTGACTGTCCATCTATCCCAGTTACCGCACAGTCATGGTTAGAGAGGGGCTGATCATCAACAGGGTGAGGCGGGACAGAGGAGGCGGCTCCAGTATCCACAGGGAATTTAGTTTTTCTATCCACCATGTCAAGGGTGACCCCAGGCTCCACTGGCATGATGGTGATGGGCCTAGTGGGCGCTCAGGCCTCTTCTCTACAGTTGTGTGGCCCTGCTTCCAAGAGGCTGGCCAGGAGGAAGCCAGTCAGCTAGGGCAGCCAGCTGTCCCTTCCACTGACCTTTCTGTCTGCAGGATGCACATTTGTTCCATCCAGGTGGCCTCTGCTCTGATCAGATGGCTCAGGCTAGAGTCTTCCAGGCCTCCTGGGATCACCCTGAGGTGGCGGGCTGTACCAGGGCAGCCAAATCTGCACCTTTTTGACTAACCTTTTGTCTTTATTGGCCTCCTCTGCCCTGTCTCAATTGTTCAAAACCTTGAAAGCCTCCTCCACCAAGGGTGACAGCAGGGTCTGAGAGCCTGACTCTAACTTTCATAGAATCCTAATATCCGAGGCAGATGGGGTGATAAAATGCATGGCCAATAGAGACTTCCCCGCTGCTGACTCTGGTCTCCACTGGCATATTATCAGAAGCTCTCTATCACTGGTTTATTTTTTTTTAATTTATTTATTTATGATAGTCACACAGAGAGAGAGAGAGAGAGGCAGAGAGAGAAGCAGGCTCCATGCACCGGGAGCCCGATACGGGACTCGATCCCGGGTCTCCAGGATCGCGCCCTGAGCCAAAGGCAGGCGCCAAACCGCTGCGCCACCCAGGGATCCCCACTATCACTGGTTTAGAAAGACAGCTGGATTCTCATCCTCTTCCTGAGTCGTTTCCCTCACTTTGTCGTAATTAACTGGTTTCACAATGCACTTCATCCCTTCAGAAAGGCAGGTAACAAAGTGCCTCATCTGCACCTTGTCCGTTCTGCCCTCATAATCCCATTGTGGGTCCTCGTCAGTGACAGCATTTCCTTCTACCCAAAGCACTCTGTCCCCTGGGCTGGCAGGTAACAGACTGACAGCATACTCACTAGCCTCCTAAAGATCCTGTCTTTCTCATCTAGGGTGCAACAGTAAGGACTATGATGACACCTTGTCAGGTGAGAAAGGAGGTTAGTTAATTTAATAAATGCATCTCTAAATTTAGAGGGTTTTCTGGAAAAATGACCAAACTTTTCTTTCCACAGCCCCAGGTCTGTGAGGGAGAAAGGAATGGGAACTCTGGTCACTCCTCCCTCGGGGATGGCACAAGAGTCCCTTAATTTGGGGTCTTGGTATTTCTCCCCACTTCTGAGATCTTTTGCAAAACAAGTCCAATTGCAAGATTGTATTAAAACTTAATGATCCATTTTGGGGCCACAGTTCCTGGTCTCCTAAGTTATGTTGGAGCCAAACAGTGTGGTAATATATATATATATATTACCTTTTTCCTTTTTCCTTTCCTTTACCTATTTCCTTTTCTTCAAACCATCCCATTTAAATTGATCCCAATGATTAAGAATATCCTAGAAGGGAATCCTTTGTCACATCTAAGGTGCTGACCAGGTTGGGTGGTTAGACAAAGCTGGTGACTTAATTAAAAAAAAAAGGTGAAAGCTGACTAGCAGGTGTCATCCCTGGGACTTTGTGTCTGTGTGAATAATGGACCTGTTCTCGTCCCACTTGGGTTTTTGGTAGAGGCCGACCAGTATGATGAGGCAATCTTGATTTCTTAAAAAAAGGCAGCTTCCAGTACAGAAAACGATTAGTCCCTTGAGGCCCCCGAATCCAAATCAACGTCTGGATTTCTTCCATCTTACACCAGAACCAAGTCTGGCTCACCAAGAATTTTCCTTCCCTCTAAATAGAATAAATTACCAAATGTTTCACAAGACAAACAAAAAGGGAAAAGACAGGATGATCAGCGGCAAGACAAGACATGGTAGGAGGTTAACACGCCACTTTCACAAAGACAATGAGATTTCTCAGGGCGACAGCTGATCTGAACCCCAAAGAAAATAACAGAGTCTGGAAATAATTCTGGGTTTTAAATAAACCCAGGAAACAGAGACCAGCTAGAAGAAAAGCCAGGGGAGGGGCCACGAGCCATAAGCCACGAGTCACGGGGGGAGGGAACACTTAGGTCGGGCTCGGCCCACCAGAGGACCTCCAGTGACCCCGCAGGGGATCAATACCGGGGAGAAGAGAGTGTGGGCACAGGGGACACTCGGCCCCGGAACGCTCGACCAGAGGCCTCCCTCCGCCGGGGAAACGCGCAGCGAAGCGACAGACGGGCAGGAATCCGCGGGCAGGAATCCGCGAAGCCTCTGAGCCTGAGCGGAGGCAGGGGGCCGACTCACCGCCGCGGAGACGCGGGACTCAAGCTCCAGGCCGCTCAGCCACTCCGGAGGGCGGGCGGGCACCATCCGCGGTCCGCCAGGGCCGACACTCGAGCACCGGGCGTCCTCGCGAGCAGAAGTCCCGGCGGGCTCCCGGGACAGACGCCGGCGACTCCCGAACAGGCTGAGGCGGGAAAGGCGCGGAGCCGGGAAGCTGCGCGCAGGCGCGGGGGCGGCACCTGCTACCACCTGCCTCGCGCGCCTTATTAGCATCTTAAGTCAACACCCCTGGCCCTGACTGTGAATATTATAATAAGGGGAAAAGTAGGTGAACGGTCGGCGCTGGGGTCCACCGGGGCAACAAGCCGGTTTAGTCCGGTTTCTTCCGCGGAGTTCTTTCTGGCAGACGTCCTACTTCCGCATTCCTAGGAGCTGTCTAGAACCACTTGCTCCGCCTTGTCTTCCAAGGTGACACGCGGGGAGCCGGGGGGCGGGGGCGGGGGGGTTTGTGTCCAAACACAGCCCCTATTCGATCTTGAGACCACCTTTGAGGGCAAAGTTAGGAGGGTCTCCTGGAGGAAGTGATGGTTCTGGGGAGACTTGTCTGCTGCGTGACTCACCTCCTCTTAACCCCAGTCATCCCCCTTTTCATTTCCTGCCTCGCGTTAGTTTGGAAGAATTTAAATGCCTAAACCAAGTGTTTGATGTTATTCTTTATTATACAAGCGATTTCCCACAAGGTACCCCACAGTCCACATCCCACCCCTCACCCCGCCTTTCTCAGAGTCAAAACCTTTCTGAGAAGGTCAGGATTGAGTTCGGCACAAGTGAAAGCGTTTAAAAGAAATACAAACCTGCTCAAAGCTTTATTGTCCGGAATGCTGAAACACTGGAAAGCTGTAATTTGCTTAAAATCAGCATAGCCAGTTAGTGACGCAGGGAAGGGGAGGGACTCCATTGTTAGGAAGGCTCCATTTCCCTTCTCTCGGCAAGGCCCAATTTACTCATGTTCTGTATTTCCCCTTGCACCTGAGTAAACCGAAGAAGCTCTGTTCCCACTCCAAGAGGGAGACATGAAAGTTCATCATTCTGAGTTTCCTCCTAGGCCCCCATACACCTGGTAACATGTAAGAGGAACCAGATCCCGAGCATGTTCCAGAATATTAGCTTCCAACAAACCTCGGTTTTCACTGGTGCCAACCCCCTACCTCCATGATTTATGGAATTAAGCTTGACACCTTTGATTGAACCCTACCTTGCATTCCTTAAGGAACATATGCCCCTTTCCAGTATAAACCCCTAACTCCAAGTGAGGAGGAAACTCACTTCTCTGAGTCTCCAAGACACTCCCATCTGCTATACTCTATCACTAATCCTAGTCAATAAACTCTGCTCTTGCTTTTTCCTGGCTCACATTTGATTTCTATCCCACTCAAAGCCCAGGACCCTCTTGGTGAGTCCTGCAGAAACCCCGCTGGGTCTTCGGGCCTGCCCTACCTACTGCTTCTCTGACTCTACTTTTTTTTTTTTTTTTTAAGATTTTATTTATTTGAGAGAGAGAGAGAGTGAGCACAAGCAGGGGGAGGGAGGAAGCAGACTCCCCACTGAGCATGGGGCCCCACATGGAGCTTGATCCCAGGACCCTGAGATCATGACCTGAGCTGAAGGTAGAAGCTTAACCAACTAAGCCACCCAGGAACCCCTAGCCCACTTTCTACAACTGGATTACTACTATTTAAGCCATCACTTTAGATACCTGACTTGGTTCCAGGATCCTCCATCCTGGTTCTCAACATATGATTTGAAGATTTCTGGCAAGGTTGGGGGATCCCCTGTTATACTTTCAAGGAGTCTGTAAGGTTAATACTCACTAGTGTACAGTGAAGCTTCTAGAGATGACATGGCCTGTGATACCTCAACACTAAGTACAGACGTACCTGTGAGGGTCTAGCCCATCTTTTAGTGAAAGCCAGATATTAGATTTGTGAAAACCTTAAAGAATGCTACATTTCTCAATAAAATCTATTTTACTTTAGAAACAAGTTATTTTTCATAACACATTTTTATATTAACTTATAATGGGTTTATTATTGCTATTTTAATATAAATTGCAAATACATTTTTTAAATGTCTCAGTTTCCATCTTCAATGCCATAAATATTGGCAGATATAACCCAGCTGAGCAAAAGCTCTTTGAGGCCCTCAATAATTTTTTAAATTTTTGTTTATTTTTAAGGTTTTATTTATTTAGTGAGAGAGTGGGGGAAGGGCAGAAGGAGAGGGAGAGAGGGAATCTCAAGCAGACTTCTCACTAAGCACAGAGACAAGGGGCTGGATCTCAGGGCCCTGAGATCATAACCTGGGTTGAAATCAAGTGTCGCACCTTCAACCGACTGCACCACTCAAGAGACCCTCTCCATAACTGTTAATGTTTAAAGGCAGCCTGAGGTCAGCTGCTTTCCCCACTGAACCTGAACCTGGGGACCTGCCAGGTTGGGGGTACTCACCTGCTCAGGTGGGACCATAAACCTTAGGCCATACTCAGGAACTGAGTATTGACTTCTAGGCTATTGAGGGGAGACCTGAGCCAGGCTGAGATGTGTCTTTATCCTCATCCTCCTTTAGCTTGGAGGCCAGGAGAGTTGTGCTGTGTGGTCTGGAGATGCCAGGGGAGGGGTGGGAATGGACCACCAGCTCCAGAGCTCCCTCAGCTGTCATGGCAAGGCTCAGAGCACCCACACCCTAGGTCCCTATGTACCCCCTGGCTGGCTTCCTCTATGCCTGACCTCAACATGTGGCTTCCCTCCCCTGGCAGCCTGGTGTGTTCAGCTGCCTTCACCCTGAGTCACTCTGATCTGAAAACCTGTCACTTTTTCACATGTTCCTCTTGGGTGTGAGCCATGTGGTGGCCCTTCATGGAACTGGCCCATACCCCACGATACCAGCAAATGAGTTCCTAAAGCAGCAGCCTAATGAGGGGCTGGGCCTGAAAAGAGTGTGAAAGGAGCCTTTGGAGGAGGTTCTCTCAGGTGCCCAGAGGGAAGAAGGGCCCATTTCCTTCCAGGGGTGCTGTGCTATGGTGGCAGGAGGGCCAGGGCTTCTCTACTTGGGTCTGAGGCCAGGGAACTGATGGTGGCTGCGATGGGGCCCCGTCCTGTGGAGGATCAGGCCGCCCTCAGGCACTGTGACCCCCCGGGCCCCAGTGAAGGCTGGGCAGATGAGGAGCAGGCTATCATCAGACCCCAGCCTGAAGAAAGGCTTCAGGGGCCCAGAAAAGGGTGACCGGGGACATGTGTAGATATGTGATCTGTCCCTCATGTTGTAGAAGGAAATATCTCCAGCTTCATAGTCGAGAAAGATGCCCACTCGGCGAAGACGCTCTTTCACAGGGAGAATCTTCTCGGGGGAAGACAGGGCCCGGTACTGGTTTCCAAACATCTCCAGGGTCCAGAAGCCATTCTGAGGAACCAACAGGGCCTCCCCTTTCCGCTCAACGCTGTCTCTACAAACCCCCACGGCCCACACCATCACATTTTCCACCTCCACCTCCCAGTAATGCCTCCCCGAGGAGAAGCTGTCCAGGCCTAGGACACAAGGCCGGCAGTCAAATCTCTCCAGGTTGTCAGGGACACTCTGCCTGGAGGGGCCTCGTCTCACTCCTCTTCTGTCCTCTGTTAGGAAGAGCTCAGGATGAGCAGTGTCGGGGTCAAGCACCACATCAGCTGCAGAGGAAGTGTCAGTGTGAGGCCTGGGGTCTCAAGAGATGGGCTATCCCTGTGCTCCAGAGAGGTCCCAGGAAGGTGGTGGGAGATCCCTGTGTGGCCACCTTTTCCATGGAGGCCCCTAGGTCCCAATTCCCAGGCAGCTAGCTCACAGAATCCGGGAGGTGACACTTCTCCCTCCTGTGTGACAGGGGCCTGGCCCCAGGGAGAGGACAATCAGGGCTCTAAAAAAATATGGGAAGGGAACACCTGGTGGTTCAGTAGTTAAGCATCTGCCTTTGGCTTAGGTTGTGATCCTGGGGTCCCAGGTCCTCAGATCTGATTGAGCTCTGAATGTGGCTCCCCACAGGGAGCCTGCTTCTCCCTCTGCCTGTATCTCTGCTTCTCTGTGTCTTTCATGAATAAATAGATAAAATCTTAAAAAAAAATGCAGGAAGTTTAATGAATGGAAATTAATGGCTCCCACTTTTTCTCCACATTCTTAGGTCAGCCCCCTTTTCTATTCAAGACACGGGTGGGGCAGGGACTCTCCTGAGTGAATGAATTTTACAATCTGGCTTAAACCAGAAAAGAGGCCCATCCTGCCCCCTCTCCCAGTGAAGCAGTGAATGCCATTTTTTCCCTGCAGATTCCCAGGTAGTGAAAAGTCCTTTCATTGATTCTCTGTACGGCACCAGTTTAACCAGTTCAATGACTCACAAGAGCACCCCACAGAGGGGACAAAGGGAGGGTGACGTCTCCACAAGCCAACCTGCTTCTGCTTTAGCAACATGGGTCTGCAGCCTCTGCCTCTGACTTCTCTGGATGTGGGAAAGGCTGCATACCCCTGACATTCTGCAGATTCCGCCCCTATAAGTATTTCTCAGCTGATCTACATTCTTATTGTGTTAACGTGATTTGTTGATATGTCTGACTCTGGCAGTTTTGAAATTCACCTACAAAGGAAAGGTGCAAGTACGATGGTATCTAGTAGAACCAGGATTCCTGGTGCTTTTGAGCAGAAGGGGAGAAATCATAAGATGCAGAGCACTCTCTAGGATGGGGCCTTTGGATCCTATGCTCTCCACTGTGCTCAATCCTTGCTTCCATCACAGGCCATACACAGAGCATCAGTGTTCCCATGGAGCAGGAAGGCATTCTGGTTCCCCAAGCAGCCACCCTTACAGGGGGCGTGAGGAAGCTTATTGCTTTTCCAACACATGGTTCTCCAATCCTGCGGAATCTATACCATCTTCCAAAGTAATCCAGGATTCAAAGAGTAACAACTAGTAAAATGTAATCTATGGGGTGGTCCATTATGTATGGTAAATGTCTGGTAAGCATAGATCAAATTATTCTAAACAAGAGGACAGTGGGAAGTAAGCCACAGCATCCTTCAGGAGCTGTGGGAATTCCCTAATGGCAGAGCGGACCAGCTGGTGAAGGGACCCAAGCCCCCTGTTTGTGACCTCTAATGTGCCCTGTTGGCTGGCCTGGGGGCAGGGCTTGAAGCCTGAGGGCATGTCCAGGGTGCTCACCAGCATGTAGCAGGGATCGTCTCCAGTCTGCAAGGGGAACAGAGATGTGAGCTGCAGGAGCCAGTGACTAGCCCAGCAGAGTACAGAATAGCATGGGCTACCCCCGGACATGCCACACTTACGCAATTCTTCTTGAAGTTGCTCTGAAAAAAGAAACAGAAGCCAACTAATGTCCTCGACAGAAGAAATAAGAGAATTGGGGTTTGCAGTAAACAATGGGCCCTTTGTGAGCACCCCTCCTCCCCTGCCTTTCTCTACGGAGCTGTCAAGATTCCAGAAACTATCTGTGAGCCAGTGGCAGTATTATCAGTACTTTTTAGGTTTGCTTTTGTTAGATGCTCTAGGGCTGCACACAGGTGAAGGCCCAGTGTCTGCAGGAGGCAGCAGGCAAGCCAGTAGGGTCAGTCCCCAGATGCCACTGTCCCCAGTCCCTGGCTATGGCCTCTATTCACTCCCAACTCTGCACCCCCACCCCCACCCCCAGGCTTCCAGCTGTCAGAGCTGTGTCCCTGTGTGGCCATAACCTGTCCTCCCATCTTTTACCTCGGATTTGACGTTCTTTCTCTTTTTCCACTTGTTCTTTCTCCGGTTCCTCACATGCAACTTCTTTCACTTCATTTTCAATCTCTTTTCCCCTGTGGAGTTTCCTGACGAGACAGATGCTTCCAGCGGAGAAGAGGAGCAGAGAAGGCAAGACAGCAGCTAGGCTCACCATCCAGGGGAATGTGCTGGGAACAAAGGACTCTGAACAGGGAGCCAGAAAAGTCCCACTTAGAAGAAGGAGACCCAGGACAAGATGCACATGGAAAGAGCTTCCTGGGGTCCCTGCTCTGCCAGAAACCCCACAGAGGAGGTGCCTGGGGGGCTCAGTTGGTTAAGTGTCTGTCTTTGGTTCAAGTCATGATCCCATGGTCCCATTGAACCACCACAGCCGTCACCTGGCACAAGCTGCCATCCCTCCTTGCCTGAAATATTGCAGGCAATATCATCCCTACCCCTGCTTCTGTCCTCAGCTATCAGCCTAAGTGCCATCATGTTACTTCTCTGCTCCAAGCCTTGTAGTGTTTCCCTATCACGCTCAGACTAACTCACTGCCTGTCCACCAGCCACACCTGCCTCTTGGGGTTCCTTGAAGCTGCCAGAGGAGCTCCTACCTACCCATCCCTCCTCCAGGCTCTAAGCTCCAGGCTCTAAGCTCCATACTCCTGCCTCAGGCCCTTTTCATGTGCTGTTTCTGCTAACGGCATTGCTTGGTTCAAATATCTGCACAGCTCATGCCTCACTTGCCCAAATGGCATCTTTTCAGTGAAGACTTCACTGACCATCCTATTTATAATGACAACTCCCTCATTCCCCCAGCATGCCCTGTCCCCTCCCCCAATTAATTTCTTCTGTAGTACTTATCACCATCTGATATAGTCTGCAGTTTCATTATTTCACCTATTGCTCTCTGCCACTCTAGAATGTTAGCTCCATGATGGTAGGGATCTTTATGCATTTTGTTCATTGATTTATCTTTGGTCTTTAGAACAGTGCCTTAAACATAGGTGATACTTGTTATGTATTTGTTGAATGGATTCGTGCATGTCTGTAGTTAGAGAATCCCACCCACCAACCCCTACCTTAAGAAATTCCATGGGCGGGAAGGGAGAGACTCAGCAGGCAGCACCTCTGGGTGTAGCCACTTGCTCAGGCCACTCTACATTTACAATTGTCCTAAATATTTAAAAATTGCTGCAACGGGGCACCTGGCTGGCTCAGGAAGAAGAGTGTGTGACTCTTGATCTGGGGGTGTTATAAGTTTGAGCCCCACGCTGGGTGTAGAGATTACTTAAATAAATAAATAAAATTAAAAAAAATTGCTACAGGATAAGAACCATGACAGAGAAAAGACAATCAGAGAAGACTTTGATTTTGCCCTTGAGAAAAGACAAGGGGAAAGGTCTCGCCTCAGCTGCAGCTGCCAGCTATTCAGGGCTTAGGACCCTTCCACCCCATGCCTCTACCTACCCATCCCTCCTCCAGGCTCTAATATGTCTGAAGATCCTACCTCCATGTGATGAGCCTCCAGAGGGCAGGGAACTAACCTGGGATGAAAATCACAGTTTCCCTCTCCTGGCCAAGCAGGGTGTTGTTGACAGAGCAGGATGCGTTCCTCACAGAGAAGTCCATGATGATCACAGCCATGCTGACCATGAAGAGGCCATCCGCATCCACAGTGTGAGCCTCCTCCAGGGCTGGCATGATCTCCCCATAAGGGTCCCTCCACGTGGCATGGGGCTCTGGGTACCACCCTATGGATGTGCACTCCAGCCGGATGCCTCCATCCTCGTGGCCCTTCATTTCAATGAGGGGCTTAGAGCCCAGACCTGGGGACAGAGACCAGGGAACAGCTAAAAAGGCAATGGTGTCTTAGCCTGAGTGTCTTAGATCAACTCTCAACAGGGAATGCTAAGGGGAAGAGGAAGACAGCAAGTCACCAGTGGCCACCAAAGCTGGTTATGGGTATTCTACACATTCCCACAGTAGCCATTCTGTGAGGCGGGGAGAGATAGAGGAGAGGAAGGAAGGAAAAAGACCCTGATCGGGGATAACATCAGGAGACCAATGTGCCAATAAATCACGAGATCTCTGAGGACAGGATGACATGGCACTTCGCTTTGGGCTCTGACCCCATCACAGTGGCACACCTCCATCTGTCTCATACTAATTGTTTGTCGATTGCTTCATTCAGTCAGAGAATTTAGTTTTCTCCCTTCTGGGTGAGTGTGTCCGTTCTGACCTGAAACAGGCCGGTTGAGGATTTCTCTTTCTGTCCTGGGAGGACTGCTCAGTCTTGGTGGTCTCCTGAGGCTCTGGAGTCACAGGAGAAGGATAGAAGCCTGTCAGGCCAGCAGAATCTTAGGAAACTTTCTGACCTCAAGAGATTGTCCCTTCTCTCCTGGCTCAGGGCTTCCCAGGCCACAGGTCATCAGGAGTGGCAGGTTTTTAGGAGAATGGACAGAACTAGAAAGCTGAACCAACCCTTACCCCAATTCAGAGATGATTACCTCTGGGGGGCCCTGTCAGCCAGGGGATTTCTTCTACAACATCTACGTATTAGAAAGATCTGGGTGCTCCTGGGATCCTCAAGCTAACAGTATCATCTCCTCGACGTCAGCAGAACATCACAAAAAATTCTGACTCTGAGCTCTTCCCAACTTATTGTCTTTAAAAGAATCTCTAAAAAGGGGCACCAGGGCGGCTTAGTTGGTTTAGCATCTGCCTTTGGCTTGAGTCATGACATAATCTCAGGCTTCTAGGATTAAGCCCCATGTCAGGCTCTCTGCTCACCAGAGTCTGGCTTTGCCTGTTTGTGCTCTTTGTCAATAAATAAGTAAGATCTTAAAAATAATAAAAGCAAAATGTTTAAAAAAATAAGAGTCTCTAATAAAAGAGAATACTGGTACAAGACCTGCAAGTGCACAGTCCTAAGAAACTTCTGCTCCTTTAGCCAGGGGTCTTGTAGTCACCAAAGTCTTAATTAAATTAAATTAAATTAAATTTTAGAACAGCTCAGCAAAATAAAATTCCTGTTTATTGTTGGACAATATTGTTTCATCCAAACTTTTTTTTTAAGATTTTGTTTATTGGGGCTCCTGTGTGGTACAGTCAGTAAAGTGACCGACTCTTGGTTTTGGCTCAGATCATGATCTCAGGGTGCTGAGATGGAACCCTTATCTGCCTCTACTTTGGGCTCAGCTCTACACGTAGCATGGAATCTTCTTGCCTCTCTCCCTCTACTGCTATCCCCATACTCTTTCACTCTTTCTTGCTCTCTCTTGAATAAATACATAATCTTTTAAAAAATAAAGATTTTCTTTATTTATTTGAGAGAGACAGGCAGAGCAAGCACAAGTGGGAGGGAGGGTGAAAGGGTGAGGGAAAAGCTGACTTCCTGCTGAGCAGAGATCCCTGCGCTGCCCCCCACCCCACTAGATGCTCAATCGCAGGACCCTGAGATGACCTGAGCCGAAGGCAGATGCTTGACAGACTGACCATAGGCACCTTATATTCAAATGTCTTTTAAGTAATTTCTTTGTTGGAGAAGAAATGGGTAGGAAATATCAGAAAGGGAGACAGAACATAAAGACTCCTAGCTCTGGGAAACAAACTAGGGGTGGTGGAAGGGGAGGAGGGCGGGGGGTGGGGGTGAATGGGTGACGGGCACTGAGTGGGGCACTTGATGGGATGAGCACTGGCTGTTATTCTGTATGTTGGCAAATTGAACACCAATAAAAAAATTATTATAAAAAGTAATTCCTTTGTTAAGGCAATTCAAAAAATTAAAAGACAAAATTAAAGCAATCATGTAAGTCTCAGCTACCTGCTCCATCTGATTTTTGCCAAGAAGAAATAAACCAAAAATAAAAAAACCTGAAAGACTGGCACAGAAACTCTAAAGTGTGAGAGGATTTAAAAGAATTTGGCAAGCTGGAAATAAGTTCTACAAAATGAGGTTCCATGGGGTTCAGCCAGGGCAAGATTGAGACAGTAGACATAAGGACAAAATCAGCCAGCCAGTCAACCGACCAAACAAAAAACCAATAAACAATTCTACAACTCAGCTCAGAGTGGGCCAGGCCAGACCTGAGTCGTGCTCACAGGGAAAGAATAGAGGCTTCCTGTTACATACAAATCATCCTACTCAGCTGTGCAGTGTTGCTGTGAAGAATCAGGCCACCAGGGTTGAGAAATCCTCCTGCCACAACATTTTCTATTCATCCCATACAAGGTTCCCTTCTAAGTGACAAAGATGGGGTCTCCTGGGGAGGCCACACTGTCCCCTAAGCCTTCCCTTCATTGGTCTAATCGACTGAAATGCCATTGATTTATGTGTATCTTAAAGGCTCTTCCAGCCTTCAAATGTTCCTTTTAAAGTATAATACACTGGCCCCGAGAGCGAGGTCATGCCTTAAAACCATTATTAATAAACTCTGGGACATGCCACTTCTCCCCTACAGCCTTGCCAAACTCCTCCTGATTACATTGTCACTAGTTCTCCTAGGGGGCCAGCAGGCTTGGCACTGGAACATGCTTTAATAAAATCATCTGGACATGTCAGTCATTCTCATATGATTAGGATTTGGGGAAAGGGGAGAGAAAACAAAATTAATATCTATTGAGACAAGGGATGTCCATATGCCCTCCCCCATGTGGTTACTGACAGGGGCTCTTCTCACTCTCAATGTCAGAGGGTTCAAATGACGAAGTATATGGTCCACTATCTGGCCCCCAGACTCCCGGCACTGGGCCAGATGAGACTTCCCATTGGTTCCTCTGAGGGAGCCCCCAGAGAGGTACAAATCTCTCCCTCACTTTGCTCCAATTGTGGTCATTTGCCATCCTTTCAGTGAAGATATTCCTCTCACTCCCCCTTGGACTCTCAACCCCTTCTCTGCTTTTTTCCACAGTAATCACCACCATCTAAGATACAGTTTAATTCAGTAGTTTATTGATGGGCTCTCTGTACTCTCTAGAACTTGGGCTCCATGAAGTCAGGAACCTTCCTGTATTTTGTTCACTACTTTGTCTTCAGTTACTTGGAACAGTGACTTGAATATAGGGGCTTGTTAATAACGGATTTGTTCAATGAACTTATGAATGTCTGTGATGTGAGGGAGCCCAAAGATAAATTTTCCCACTCTGCCTTTTTTTGTTTTGCCTTTTTAAAATGTGTTTATTGAAAATTTAAAAAATATATATATGTGGCTCACATTTGTGGCATATATTTTATTGCTAGTGAATTGTGTTGCTTTAGATGAACCACCATGCATCATTCTGATTGCCTCCAAAGTCTTGATGGTTTAAACTGACTCTGAAAGTTTGATATCAGCAATGTATTTGTTTTTCACTCATTCATTTTACAACTATTTATTAAGTATCTACTAGGTGTCAAGCAACTTGCTAGATGCTAGAGATAAAGTGGTGAATAACTGCTATTGTTAGATCCTGATTGGTTCTGGTTATGATTAGGACAATAAAGCTTAAGGAAAAAAAGAAGTCCAAAGGGGCACCTGGGTGGCTCAGTTGGTTGAGTGAGTATCTGTCCTGGGCTCAGGCCCTGATCCAGGGGTGCTGGGATGGAACTCCACATTGGGCTCCCTGCTCACTGGGGAGTCTGCTTCTCTCTCTGCCCCTCCCCCACCCATTACTCGTGTTCTGCCACTCTCTCAAATAAAAACTTTAGGAAAAATTTTTTAAAAAGAAGAAATCGATTGAAAATCAAATGAGAAACACTGGTCTTTGAACTTAATGAAAAACATATGGAGCATCATATGCTATTGGTAAGAGTGTATATTGGCATGAACATTTTGGAAAATAAATTTGTAGTATCTATTACAGAGGAAGAAGAGAAATACTTCTCATCATACAACACTTCTAGGAACATGCTTCAGTTGGGGATTTTGAGAGGGGGCATGTTATGAATTATACCCCCCCACCCGCATTCACATGTTGGAGTTCTAACCTCCAATACCTTTGGATGTGAAGAAGAGATCAGTAGGTACAGAGAAAGATACCAGGCTTGTGTCCACACAGAGGAAAGGCCATGTGAGGACACAGCCAGAAGGTGACCATCTGCAAGCCACGGAGAGAGGCCTCAGAAGCCAAACCGGTGGGCAGCCTATCATGGTCACATGGGTTATTGTTCATAGTTCCGGAATCTGTATATTAACTTTTTTAATAAGGATTTTATTTGTTTATTCATGAGAGACACAGAGAGACAGAAACACAGGCAGAGGGAGAAGCAGGCTCCATGCAAGGAGCCCAATGTGGGACTTGATCCCAGGCCCTGAGCCAAAGGCAGACGCTCAACCGCTGAGCCACCCAGGTGTCCCTATATTAATGTTTTATAAGTTTTTCTGGATGTGTATTATATATCACAATAAAAATATCCAATTAATTATAAAACGAGTTGCTGGGAAAGACCCTTAGAGATCTCTTAGTAGGCATAAGAATTATCTGTGGGAGTTAAACCTTCACTCTGGCTCAAGGCTACAGTGGAGTTCTGCATATGCTTCTCAGGAACTGACGCCCACACTGAAGCAAGGCAAACCCACTCATTTGGTTCTTGGGCCAGAAGAAGCTACCTTCCTGTTTAAAGGGGATGCTAGGCAAAAATCTGCTGGGCTGCAATGGTCCTGAGGTTGGGAGAGAAACTCTTCCTAAGGGTCACACTGAAAAAAACTGAGCAAAAGGAAATGACGCACTTGCCACCATCAGGTGCATAACAGCCTCATCATAGGATCTGCCTTCTTGGAAGTAACAGTGGTAGATGCCGTTGTCATGGGTTGTGACATTGTGTATGATGAGTGCCACGCTCCCCTTGTTGATATGTTCGCTCACAAAGGTGGTTCTTCCTTGATACTCCTCCATCTGCTCCTCTGTTCTCTCCCGTCCAGCCTTATACACGAGCACCGCCAGGGAGAACTGAGCTCGGAACCAGCGCACCTCCATGTACTCTGCATCCTTCTCGGGTGACAGGTGGCAGTGAAACATGGTGTTTTCTCCCGCCATGGCCAGGACTGCATCTGTCGGCCCCACAACAGAAAACTGGGCTGTTCAACAAAGGAGCAGAACAGGGCATGGCCATCAGATATCAAAGGCAGGAAAGGCAGTGGTTATTCCAGGGGACAGATGTATTCTTTCTAGAGCCACAGGGGCTTCCTGAGCTGAGCCAGTCAGTGTGGTTGGTTGGCAGTGACAGATGCCTGGTGGGGGATCCACCGAGGTTGTGAATACTTATTAAGAAGCACACACTGGCACTGCGCCTGCAGACCCTGTGCTTACAGAGATTTTTCCCCTATTCCCCAATGTAACACAATGCCTGGAGTCTAGGATACACTTGATCTGTCCATTGTGGTAGCCACTAAGTCCCCACTGGAACGTACTTTAAATGAAAAGTACACACACACACATTTTACAATGTTAGAATAAAAAATGTGAAATATCTCACTGTTAATAATATCTTACATTAATTAAAAGTTTACATACCAATATTCTGGTTATTTGGGGTTTCAAAACATGCATTATTAAAACTTATTTCATCTGTCCCTTTTTACTATTGTAATGTAGCTACCCAAGCACTTAAAATTGTATGTGCAGGGATCCCTGGGTGGCGCAGGGTTTGGCGCCTGCCTTTGGCCCAGGGCGCGATCCTGGAGACCCTGGATCGAATCCCACGTCGGGCTCCCGGTGCATGGAGCCTGCTTCTCCCTCTGCCTGTGTCTCTGCCTCTCTCTCTGTGACTATCATAAGTAAATAAAAATTAAAAAAAAATTGTACGTGCAGCTGGCCTTTGGGCCCTGCCTGTATTTCTATCTGATGGCGATGATGTAAATTCGGTGTACACGAGGTGAGTGAAAGTTGCTTGAACCCCTACCGCAGTACTGATGCATTTTACCTCTCGGCAGACTGAAGTGTTGATCCCCCACCTCCCACTCCCGCCTGGGAAAGCCGACGGGAGCCAGAGGCAGGCGCCCTTACCTGAGAGCAGTGCAGAGCCGCCGAGCATCACGAAGAGCAGAAGGGAGCCGGGCTCTGTGAAGCGCAGAGCAGCCGCCCGCTCCATCGGCGAACCCGGAGGGTCACCCGGGGGCGTCTGCGACCCGAGGCCGGGGCGAGGGGGCGGTGCGGGGTGCAGACGCAGAGGAATCAGCCACGGAGCCTGGGCACCCCGTCTGATGGATATCAGACCTTCCTGTGACCCGCCCCGCGATGCTCAGCGCCCCTCCTCTCCCGGCTCGGTAGTCTGCTGATGGACCCGTCAGACATCCCAAGGAATAAGCCAACCACGCGACCATCCGGGAGGCGGTTTTCCGCCCTCCCCGGCTCACTCCTCTGGCCAGAGTTGAGTTTCTTCAGGTGTCACTTGATACTTTTCCATCGCCTCCCCCCACCTTCCACCCCTCCCCGGGGATCGCTCAGAGTGATGGCAAGGAAAGCCAGACCCCTCTCCCGGGGTCCCTGCCTTCCCCCAAGTCACTTCCCACCCACCGCCCCACCCCTGCCCCCGAGGGGCGAGCGCGACCCTCCCTTTCCGACCATCTCGAAATAACTTCTGCGTTATTTATCCTCTGACGCTCAAATGATTTTCTGTCGTCCTTCTTTCTAATCTCATAGTCATAATCGGAGAACGATACATCCTGAAAGCGGAGAAAAAAAAAACCTTTATTCGCTTCCCACGAGGCGCGGCGGGACCTGGGACAAGCTCCACTCAATTCTGACCGCAGAGTCCCAAGAGGTCAATGAAGGGTCTAGAGCCCAGGACTGGCCGGCTGCGGGCCAACCAGCCAATGGTATCCCTAAAGGTATCTTCTCACCAGTCACCAGGCGGAATACACAACAGTGAAATGCTCAAGGCACCAATACAGTATTTGAAATATGTGTAGGAGTAACGTTCAGTTGTATGCTCTAAAATGATTAGTGTAGGGGTGCCTGGGTGGCTCAGGTGATTAAGTGTCTGCCTTCAGCTCATGATCCCGGGGTCCTGGGATTGAGCCCTGAGTCAGAATCCCAGTTCCTCCTGCTTATGTTCACTTGCTCGCTCTCTCTCTGTCAAATAAATAAATAAATAAATAAATAAATAAATAAAATGTTTAAAAAATAATCAGTGGCTTATTTTTATCTGGGTATCCATAGTTCCTAAATTCTTGGCCATTCCTAACACTATTGACAGTCTGGCTCTGGGTACCTGACCACTCCTAGTTAGAATCAGGGCTGCCTCCAATAGGGCTCATGAAAGCAGGAGTTCTCTGGAACTGCCTTGCAGGACAGCCTGAGGCAGGACAAGCCCTGCTTGTGCTACTTTCTGTTCATTCTCTGGCACCTGCTGGGAGAAGTGTTCCACAGGAAGGGAATGGATGTTCTTGAGGACCTACCTGTAGGATAGGGGGGCGGGGGGAGGGCACAAGCCAATGGAAGAGGGATTGGCATAAAATCATAAGATTGCAAAGGACTGAAGACAGGCATAGGGTTGAGTCCAGAGACACAATAAAATAGAAGAATGGGCATTGCATTACGGAGGACTGAGGAAGTACAGGCTAGCTCAGAATGTAAACATCTGCCCTACCGGTCAGCAGGCTGGGATAGCAGAGGTGTTTGCTAAAGCCAACTACGTAGTGACTGGGAACTACTATTTCTCCCAATATCATGCTGCAGTCACAAAGACACCAACAAGCCCCTTCTCTGAGTGCTTCGTGCTTTCTTACTCACTGGGAAACTTGGTCTGTAATATTAACAGTCTACCAAAAAGCTTCGTGCCTGAAATCATATCAATAAAAATGAAACACGGGCAGCCCGGGTGGCTCAGCAGTTTAGCGCCGCCTTCAGCCCAGGGCCTGATCCTGGAGACCCGGGATAGAGTCCCACATCAGGCTCACTGCGTGGAGCCTGCTTCTCCCTCTGCCTGTGTCTCTGCCTCTCTATCTCTCTCTGTGTCTTTCATGAGTAAATAAATAATAAAATATTTTAAAATAAATAAATAAAAATGAAACATTCCATCCTTGCCTGGAGGATCCACATTAGTTTGACAGGAGGTAGCAGCCTGATTTCCAAACTCCATGCTAAAGTTCAGGCAAGGGCTCCAGGAGGCATGTCCACCACTCCCCCACCACCCCATGCTGCATCATATACACACCAGAGTCCCAGGCTTGTTGATAAGCTCAAGGTGTTCTTGGCCCTGGGGAACCTTGATGACAAGGTGAACGTCACCAAATTCCTCTGCTGTCATTTGCATTCGGGGTATTTAAGGAGTGGCTCCAAGGCTGGAGAAAGTGAGGAAACTTTTGCAAACACTGCCTCCCTGAAGGACTGTTGCTATTTCTATATATTCTAGGACACGGAAGGCATATACTTGCTTAGACTCTTATGAGTGGCTGCAACAAATATATTCCAACATGCCAGGGGCTCAATTCAACAGTAATTAATAATGTTGCGCTCACATAATTGTCAATGCAGTTGCTCCTAGTTGGCAGGTAGGTTTTATCGGTGTGACCCCTTTCATCTGTGAGATCCCATCCCTGACAGCAGAGTCCTCCACCTGTGGCTAGAAAGAAGAAAGAGAAAGTGGTCATCTCCTAAAGGCTTTGGCTCAGAAGTGACAGGCTTTATTGCTACCATGTTCTATTGCTGAGAATCAGTCCATCCCCCTCCCGCCCATGCAAGAGATACTGGGAAATGTATTCCCACACTGGACCGCTCATTACTAGTGATAATGCTACACTCTGGAAGGTGGACAGGTGGATGGGTTCCTTGGCCTCAGTGAGGAAAGCTGTTGTTATTCAAAGCACACCTAAGAAACAAGCCCCACTTTCTAGATTAACTACAATGGGGAACACAAATGAACCTTGCAGAAATCTCTTCTTTGTCTCTCTTTTTAAAAAGATTTTACTTATTTCTTCATGAGAGACACAGAGAGAGAAAGGCAGACATAGGCAGAGGGAGAAGCAGGCTCCCTGCAGAAAGCCCAGTGTGGACTCTATCCCGGGACCCCAGGATCACTTCCTGAGTCAAAGGCAGACGCTCAAAAAAAAAAAAAAAAAAAAAAAAAAAAGGCAGACAGGCAGACGCTCAACCACTGAGCCACCCAGGTGCCCCCAGTCTCTTCTGCCTTGTTTTTGTGTTTGTCTGTTTGTTTGTGGGCTATTGTCAGCTAAGAGAGAGGTACTGTTCAGAAACATTGGTCTCCGCTCCAGGGATGGCAATTTCTAACTGACATCAAGAATCAGAGAACTTGCACAGACTCATCCCTGCACTGAACGAAGCACATACCTTTAGACCCTATTTCTGTTTGTTTTAAAAATAGACTGTATGTGAGGCCAATTTGTGGAATCCGAGAAGTTTGACTTCAGGATATCCAGTCTCCTCAGTGTACTCAGTTTCAGATGCCCAGGGCCTGCTGACTTTTTAACCCTATGCTTATCTGTAAGATGAAGCCTCTAGTATTTCACATTTCCATACTTGAAGGGAACTGGAGTCAGTGCCTGAAAGACAGTGGTAGATGCCCAAGCCACTGATTGAAAAAAAAGAGAAAGAAAGAAAGAAGAAAGAAAGAAAGAAAGAAGAAAGAAAGAAAGAAAGAAAGAAAGAAAGAAAAGAAAGAAAGAAAAGGAGAGAGAGAAGAGATCATCATTACTTTCCTTAAAAACTCATTTGCTTTACTTTTTTTTAAAGATTTTATTTATTTATCCATAAGAGACACACACAGAGAGAGAGAGACAGAGAGAGAGAGAGAGAGAGAGAGAGAGAGAGAGAGAGAGGCAGAGACATAGGCTGAGGGAGAAGCTGGTTCCCTGTAAGGAGCCCGATGTGGGACTCGATCCCAAATCCTGGGATCGGGCCCTGAGCTGAAGGCAGACATTCAATGGCTGAGCCACCCAGGTGTCCCTGCTCTATTTTTTTTATATTGCCTTTGAAATCTGTGATTTCTAATCATTGGATAAAAGGCTATGTCTCTTATTAAAAAGACTTCAGGAGGGGCACCTGGGTGGCTCAGTCAGTTAAGTGTCCAACCCTTGATTTCAGCTCGGGTCATGGCTCAGGTCATGACAGAGTCGTGGGATCAAGTCTCACATTGGGATCCCTGCTCAGTGGGGAGTCTGCTTCTTGCTCCCTCTTCATCTCCCCCATGCCCATTCCCCAGCTAGTGTGCTTACTCTCTCTAAAATAAATGAATCTTTAAAAATAAATAAATAAAAAATAAATAGACTTCAGGAAATAGTGGGCAGGTTAGGAACAGATTTCCAGGTGCAAGGGAGTCTTCTCACCCCTGGGGTTATCCTTCATAACCAGATCCTGCCCTGGAGTTAAGCCTGTTTTCCCTGTGTGGGGAGGGCCAGGGCCCTGGGTCTTTGGGTTCCACCCCATCATCATGCTCAGCAAGATGATTAAGCTGCTCTGATTCACAAAATAGGAACCTCAGACATAGCCAAAATAGATCCCCAACTGATCAGTGGCAAGGATTTACCATTTTTAAAAAATTTACCATTCTTATATCTAAAAAAATAATAATGGTGTTATTAAACACCAACTCCACACTGGATGTATGCGTATTAGACTGTTTTCTATTGTAATCATGCCTCCAAACAAAAACCAAACATCTTAGGAGATTATATCAACGTTTATTTTCTCCTTCATGGTGAGCAGGTGACTGCGGTAAAGCTGGTCTGGGGTGCACTTACTTGAGATTCACTGACTAGGTTGGACTCCACGCTGGAGGTAGAGTTCCGGTCAGCTGAGAAGTCTCTTTTGTCTGAGACCAGACCCACAAGGCATGTGCAACTCCCACTCCTGGCAGGTGGCAGAGGCTAAGGGGCCAAGCCAAACTATGAAAGCACATTTAGAGTCCTGGTCCATTTCACTGATATTCCACTGGCCAAGCCCCAAGTTAGGGAGGTGTGGCACTGCAGAGACACATGGTTGACAACAGGAGAATTAGGAGCAGTGATCCTATCCACCACAGGAGAGAGCTCTGACCACAGAAGTAGCATGTACCAAACACAGAACGCGCACATGGAATCCCAATCCCACCAAAAGAAACTCAGTTGAATTATTCTTCTCCTAGTGGCTGCC